ATTATTTCAAAATGTTGGCGCTCAGGCCTCGGCAGGAAACATTAGTGCTGAATTTTAATTTAATGTGCATAAGCAGGTGTATGAGAACAGGAATGTTTCACCCCAGACATGAAACTGGTGGGGGAGTGGAGGTAGAAGAAGATGGTTCAGTCCTGGACTGCTGGGTGGCGAGACGATCTGCTTGAGCTGTATTGGTGAGATCCAGTAGACTTTGTGAGCTGATACTAGTGCTTAACAAGGGACCTGGGAAGATGGAAGTCCAGCTTGGATAAACACAGGTTTGCATGAACCTGTCCATAAGCAAGCATGAAGCAACAGTGGAGAGAAAAAACTCCCCTTTGGGAAGAAACCTCTGGCAAAACCAGGCTCAACATGGCCGTCTTCTGCCGGACCGATTGAGATACGACGGGGAATGCAGTAAAAGTCTGGGAGGAATTACACTCTGATAGGGACGAAGTTGAAGAAGCACCATGAAAAAAGTCAGATGGAGCTTAGCTACGATGGTGGAGAAGGGGATGAAGGTGGGTTGAATCAGGGTCATCTGAGAAAAAACTGACATAGCACAACCACTGCTTTTCTTTGGTTGGGTAAGAGGCTGAGTCATGCATTTGAAGACCTTTTAGAGGGAGGTGCTAAGCTGATTGGTTTGCGTCAGAGGCAGATGAGCCCCTGATTGATGAGGGTAAGTAATGTAGTTTCTTCAGTTGAACTTCCGCCTAGGCTTCTTTACTTTAATGATGTTCCCTAGGTTCAGGATAGGAATCTGGTTGCTGTAAAAGGCTTTTATATGTAGGAAAGAAATGTAATTTAAAAACAACACCTGGCAGAACCTTAAGTTCATTTGGGTTTTTTACTAATCATAATTGGTCAAATAATACAAACAGCAGATATCTAAAGAGGAAGGAATTAAGCTAACTTGGACATATTTTACCAACATGAGATTTTGTTTTTAGTTTTATTTTTAGGTCAGACGCTGAATACACCAGGAATAAGCCCAATTAACGATGTGATAGCTTTGCAAGCTCTAATTCTTTATATCACCGTTAAATGAAGGTGCACTTTGTTAAAAACTGAAATCTTAAATAAAGGTTAAAACAAAAAAAAAATCCAGATGACAAATCCCCATTTAAGCCCTAAAAGCTAAACCCACAGACACAGTGTTCGGGTCAGGCATCGCACAAAGTGTCAGAAACATCTGTTCCATCTGTTTTGTGCTCCATTGGACAGTATGCCAAGATATCAAGGCACACAGCTCCAAAAATGAATCACTGACAAGTCTGTCACACTTGATAAAAGAGGGAACTATAATAATCCTGTTGAAACGGCACAGCAAGAGAAAAATGGGGGGGAGGTAGCTTTGTGCACTCAAAACACATGAGCTACTGACACTGAAGCTAACAGAAATCCGTTCTTTTCTTTGCTTTTCTGCCTCTGGCTGAGGTATTTTATGCTTCACACAAACTGCTGTCCGTGTGTCCTTTGAGGGGTGAAACACAGGGAGGGTGAGGGCTGGGGGAGAGGCTGTATGACTGGCTCATGACCAGACTGAGGAGCGCAGTCATCGCTGGCAGAGCAGAATTCGCTGGGATGTGACAAGTATGCTCTTCGGGAAACAGATTCAGTGGTTCAAACACACACCAGCCACAGTGAGCTTCCTGCTATTTGCCATCATGTCTTTAAAAGTTATAAATATCAATAATTATCTTCTCCTGGTCAGCTTACTCCCAAGCCAAATACTTTATACCTGCACACCCTGCTCAGGAGGTCTATATAAAAGCCCTACGTAGATTTCTCTCTCTGCTCATTTAGCTTTCATTCATTTAAGACAGGCTTTGTTGGAGTTTATTGCTATTTTTTGTAGAAATGAGTGAACAGGCCATTAAAGAAAAGCCCTGTGGGGAATTGGAGAGGGGTGACCCTCCGTACCCACTGAGAAAGTGGGTTTATAGTCAAGATTTTGGCATGCCGCCTTTCCTGGAGACTGGGGATTCTGCTTGGATCAAGAGGGGTCTGGCAGCCTGGTCCTGGCTGGGGTGCATACCAGCTCCTCTGTTTGTGCCCTACATCTCAGAAGATATGCTCCCTTCCAGTCAGAAGATTACCAAGTGGAGGGTCAGCATGGACGTGTCGCACTTTTTCCCCTCTGAGATTTCCATCAGTATCCAGGATGGATTCCTTGAAGTTGGAGGTATTCTGTTAATTAAATCGCCCAAAAAGTTAAACACAAGTGTTAAATTACTGAATAAAAAGATTTATTTTTATCTCTTCATAAAGAATTAGCAATGTTATTTTATATTAACATTAGAGGATAGAAAAGAGTCTTAAAAACCCAACAGCACACAGAGTGAAAGCTTTAAATCTAGAAAAAACCCCAAAGTGTTATAAATTTAGAAAGCTGCTTAGATACCGTGCTTGGGGAAATTAAAACCACAGCTCTGTGGTAGAAATTAATTTCTGTGCTGAGTGCGTTTTCTGCGCCGTTTGATTCTTTGGTGTCCTCACGTTACTTCCTACAAATGCTAATCTTTCCCCAGGGAAACATGAGGAGAAGCCTGACGAGCTTGGATTTATTTCCAGATGTTTTACAAGGAAATACAGGTATCAATCTGCAGATATTTTCAATTAAATTATGACTACAGTAATACTGTTCCCTCTTTTTTATTTATAAGCAGTTTCTTAAATGCTTAAATAAAAAGAAACTATGCTTTTGTTTCAGTAACAGCCATGTTTTTTTTAATGATCTAAACAAAAGTTTGTGATTTAAAGGCTTCCAGCTGAGGTGGATGTTACCAAACTTGTGTCCTCACTCTCCGTGGGTGGTCTCCTGACTGTAGAGGCTCCACTTCCTGATACCTTTGCTCCTGCGTCCATCAATATTCCAATAAAGGTTATGAAATGTAATATTTATTCAAAGTTTAACAAATACTCAAATATGGCATTCAGCACGATCTGATTTATTGTTTGAGTCAAGGAGAAGATATGTATCACTGCTGGCTAAAAACATTTTAAGAGCATAAATTGGCTCAAATTAGCTGGATTGGACCAAAAACTAAAGGCATAAAACAGAAAACTTCAATTATAAAATCATATTTGGCAAATCTATGTATGATAAGGTTTATAAAATACTATACAGTTTGAAAAACACCAGCTGTAATACATAATTAATACATTAATTAATACATACATTGAATAAATGTTGAATCTTTCAGATAAATGCTTATATTTCATGATATGATTTAGCTGTGATAAACAATTTATTTTTAATGGCTTTTTGCACATTATTAAGGTGATGCTAATAAATACATACATTATAAGTTATATGTTCACAGACAAATATACAAAGTAATAAAAATGTAGGACAAGGGGTCAGAGCAAAAGTATTACATAAAAATATTGTTAGAGTTAAACTTAATAAGAAGAAAAATATTAGCTAGCTAACGTAGTCTAATCATGTAGAAACCCCCAATTTAAAGCATCGATTACAAATAAAAAAAAAAATGTTGGGTGATTGGCACAATTCTTAGAATCTTAACAAAAATTCTACCTGCTTCTGTCTTTGTGTATGAACAGAAGTCTATAGAACACATCTGAAATAATAAGAGTTTATCCCAAAGTTATTTCAAATCAAGATTTTATATCTAAATGAGGCATTCATTTAATAAACTGTCAACTTAATAAACTCTATGCTAATCTAGGTGGACAATGAGAGGGCTGGAGAACCAAAAACAAAACAAGAGGATCAGGGGGAAGAGTCTCAATTAGAGGCCTGTGGTGATCAGGTCCAACCCAACAGCACCACGACTGGGCTCAAGCAGGGAGAAGAGGAAACAAGAGAAAAGCCAGCTGGACCGTCCCATTCTTCGCTGCCTGAGGAAGATAAAAGCCTAGAGAGTGTCCAAAAATCTTCTGAGCGTCCTGATATCCCACAAAGCCAAGAAGGCCTTGTTACATCCAACCTGCTGGAACAGAAAGAGCCGGTTGTGGATGGAGAAATCCAGGTGAAAGCAGAAAAAGCTGAGGAGCTCACACCGCCTGAGGAGCAGGAGCTGGGCCCAAGTCCAGTGAGTGACATCCAAACCAAGGGGCTGGAAGCTGCTAACATAGAGCAACAACACTCTGAGTAAACAGAGAAGCATTAGCCTGCATTGCTTGCCCTAAACTAGTCCCAGAGATGCTTTTATTTTCCATTATCTATAGTGCCATAAAAGCCTGCTGTGTTTGGAACACTAATAAAAGCAGTATGATGTAAGGATATGTCGTTGTGCTTCCTGTAGTGGGAAAACATGTGAATCTGAATCTTTTGATCAAAAAACAGCCAGCTAAAAATTAAATCATTACAATATCAGTCATTTACTCACATTTCTTCTTTTATATTATTATTATTTTTTTTTTTACAAAGGTTGGTTATGAAGTTGATTTAATTCTACAGAGTAGCAAATCTGTGTCCCCTTTTCACTGACATAAATCATTTTAGCATTGGAAAACTGAACTGATTGCTGTTTTGTTGTTACTAAAGCAACAGTATAATTGAAATCCCTGCATGTGTTCTAATATGCAGTACAGTAGATTATTAGAGTGGAAAACGTCACACAGTATTTTCTATTTGCTAGCACATAATCAACATATCCTTTTTATTGTGTCAGTGTGCAACTCCAGATGGAAACTTTTTAAATTTGCTCCAATCATCCCTGCTGATTCCAGCACATACACAAAAAAGATTACATTATTTTGCATCACACAATAGGTGGTGGAACAGCCCCAATTTTTCCCACCCTCATTCTAAAGTCCTGGCAGAGGCGCCAAAGTGTGTTGGGTCCATCCATCCAGCAGCTGGTGCACAGCGGTGCCTATCTGAGCCAGCACTAAGCTCCGCGTTAAGCTGCCGCCCAGTTCCTACTGTCCTCCAACAATTATGCCACAGGTTCTCTATATCCCTGGAACAATGCCTAGAACTGGAATTGTTCTTATTTTTATTTATTTTTCTTAAACAAAAACACAGATTTTGGTTGAATTTTTTTAATTGCATAAATCAGTAAAACGACATCAGCCGAAAAGATGGCAGGGGACAAACATCAAGTACACACGCAACCTTCCTCTAAATGTTTTTATATTTAAAAGGAAAATACTCAATGATACTGCTCATAATAAAAATATGTACAAGACTATTAATGTGCACACAATAATTAAAGCCATTGGATTTATTGATATAATGAAATCAAGGCACAAATATAAAGAAAGGATGCATTGACCAATCGCTTCATGGCTTCAGATGCTGCAGAGCACAAACTATTTCCTGGAAACATTTGATCACCACCTGTGCTTTGCAATGTTGTCACACAGTATAATCAGTAAGATCATATATTTATAACACCTGATTGTACAATTAAGGCCACTGCTAAGTAATAGCAAAAAGAAAAGAAAAGTGAATAAAAGGTGTAAAAGCCAAAAAGATTAAAGCTATAATTAACACTAAAATTGCACAAGAAAATATATTATGTTGTTTTATTACGTATTTTTGTATTTAAATGTTACATTTTATAATATTTAGATGAAAAAATAATCTGAAATTATTATTTTAATGTATCAGAATGCATTTCAACAATATAAAGTTAGTTCTTTTTCTGAATGTATTGGTTTTACAGACATAAAAAAAAACATTTAAAATTCTTTATGCAATCATAAGTATAACTTTATAAGTTTTATTAAACTCAAACTGTTTTTTTTTTCCTTTTTCTTTGGATAGTAGGATTGGTGAATAATCTAAGTCAGGTTACATAAATAAGGAAAACAAACAACACAAGCATTGTCTTCTTTTTAAATGTGGAACCCTGACGGAAGGTCGCCCTTGGTGATTGAATAATAAAAAAAAATAAAAAAAACACAAAGCAAACTAATGAAAAAACAATAAAATTTAAGAGGTTTTGCTGTTAGAAATTTTTTAAATTATACATCAGTGCACGCAAGATAATTGAAGCACACAACTCTTTTTCTTCAATTTATTATTTTTATTACAAAGAAAAAAAAACAAGAAAAAACTAAAACAAATATTAGAAGGTATTTATTAGAAATAAAGAAATAAAAAATCTCCTTCTTATTGCCTTCTTATGATTATCTCATTTTGCTTCCTATAGATTAATTGATACAACCAAAACTTTTTATCTAAAACAGAGTTTTAAATACATTTTCTTTTTTACTTTTAGTTGTAATTAAATAATAAAAACAGAGCATATTATTATGACCTTTCGTTCTTGCTGGTAGGGGGAGGCTTTTGTTGTGTTAAAACTGCTATATGCAATAACATAAATACAGTAGGACTTCCCTGCACTAATATATTTCAGATCTATTGTATCTTAGATTTTATATAAGTTTAGTACACAGGTTGCGTTTTTAACTGTAACTGATTGTGCTGAAGGATGTGTTCATCTAAGGTGTTGGTTTAGACTGCCGGAGCCTCCTGGGGTTTCTGGGTCTCCAGCTCCTGAGTTTCACCTCCCTGGGAGTCTTCATTGCTAAACAGGCAGTATGGGGGTGTCTGCCGAGCCTCGATGATGAGGACCCCTTCAGGCGACAAGGAGGCAAAGACCGTCAATGGATCCACATCGGTTGGGATCCTGCACAAACAGAAGAGAGGGAAGTTAAATAGGAGGGCACAGTTTTGCAGAAGACCCAAAAGAAGCCGAATGTGGTGGTCAAGAAAAACAATGTAGGGTGATCATATGTCACTGTGACTGAACAAACATTGCACAATGCTGGATGTTTACTTTAAAACTGTGGCAACACCCATAAAAACAACCACAGGTTGAATGATTTTACAGTTGTTGTTTTTTTTGCTTAAAACATATTTTCTGTAAGAAGATGCACTACATAATTGCTTGCTTTCAGAAATATTAGACACAACAAAAATCTCTCATCCAGCAAATCTAGTTTCCATTGAAGGGTAAGCTTCCTTCAACCACTGCAGATAACAAGAAAACAAACAGCTGGAGACTGATTTCACTAAACAAAATAATCTTCTTTAAGTCTGAGCAAATTTAACATTGTCAGGGCTGCATGTGTACTTTCCTCATCCATGCACGCTTTATTACACTAACAACAGAGCTAGATCATTTCCTCTAAACTGAACATGTCTATGTAACATCAGAGTTGAAAAATGTTTTGCAACAATAGGTTTAGTTTTACAATTAACAACTATTTGTACCTAGGGCTTTTCCAACACAGCTAGTATTTTTTTAAGCCAGAGCACCACCTAATTATCAGTAAATAATTGCCCAAAGGCTCTTAGATTCTGTCACTTATTGTTTTATGAATACCTAATAGTTAGTACTTTTGTATTCCTAAACATAAACAGAATAAAACACATTCCTCAGTCAAAATACAATAAAAAAAAGCTGGCTATATTCACCTAAATTAGACAAAAAGATAACAAACAACTTAACTACAAATCAAATGCTATGGGCAAAGCATTGGAGTTAAGAAAGTCAGCAACAAGGTTGGAGGTGTAAAAAGAAAAAGAAGATCAAGTAAAAAAAGTTGAAAAAGAAAATACTGGATAGGGCTACCACGATATGAACATTTAGATTTCACTGTTGGGTTGACATAAATGATATCAACGCTATTCTTATGCTCTTGCTTACACTGACAGAGAAGTTTATGCATTTGATATTCGCCGCTGTTTATGTTTCCATTTTGGCCATACAAGTTGCCAGCAGATGCTAGTACAATATGTCTAATTAATGCATTTGGTCCAAGAAATTATGTACGGCTCAAAAAGTACAAGGTAAAACCTACCAGGACGAACGCTGTGTGTATATTAATTTATATGAAGATCAATATATGTGTTTCTATGTTTTTAGTATAATCATAGTAAGAGACAGGACCCTTGTAAGTAGAATTAACACAAACATTAACATGTATATGAGTGCTGGTGGTTCCACGATTGCACAGTTTGTAGTATTGTTGATTTGTAGCAAATAGGTATTGGGTTTGATTTTCTGCCTAGGGTCTTTCTGCATTAAATATGCAGAATTTCCAAATGCATGTCTTCATTCTCTTCAAGTACGTCCCGAAGAACAATGAAATTAACTTGTTTCTATTGCTCTAATCATAGATAAGCATTAATCCAAACAACTTACAAAATATCTACATAATAAAATATCTACAAGAGAGAAACCAGGATGAGAAGCAGAAGGAACAAGTTTGTGTTTTCATAGCCAGTGGTAATTTGTTTAATTATAAGGAGAGGGAGATTGTGATGCAGTATCCTTATTGTTTCCTGAACAGTAGCTGACTACCGTAAACGTAAGATGTTCTTCCTGTTCACCAGAGTGACAGCCAAGGTAAACATGCTGCACGTGTCAACACTGTGAGTGCCGATGTGCAATGGTGTAAATGTGGATTTTGGCTTGATGTGGTTGTGTAGTTAATGTCTATCTTCGATTAGATGTATATAGATATATGCTAATGTATATATATATATATATATATATATATATATATATATATATATATATATATATATATATATATATATATATGAAACACAGAAATGTAACAGGAAGGTTACTCTACTTTAAGTTTTACAGACGATTTAAATTAATCAATTTAATTTCTCTGGCTGTTTATACCGACAGGTTTATTTGGTGGAGGGTTTTGTTTCTATTCATGTTAAGGTGAATTTAGTTAGTTTGGAAATTGGTGTTTGGTTTGGTTGATGTAAACTAGTCTCTTTGCTGTGTACATTGTATATTCATTTATTGTTGTTTGTCAATTCCTATTCATTTATTTATTCTATTCATTCATTCATTCCATTCATTCATTCATGTTTTTGCCATCCGTGCTCTATAGCACAGACCTATAGATAAAAGTCTAAATAGTCTATGATCAGAGTGTGTGAGTTTGGAGTTTTGAACGCTCCTGTTTTGTAGAAAAGCCAAATACTCAGAGATAAAACAGATCAAAGCAGATCATGTTATTTTACACATTTGACCCCTTTTAAAGAGATCATGGATACATCTAAAAGCCAATTTAAGACCCTGATCACTTGCCCAAAAGAGTCCAAACTGGATCAGAAAACTTGTGTGTTTGGCGCTTGTAATTCCAGTTTGAAGTGAGACGGCAGAACACTGATTTAGCCTCCAGAGCAACAGAAAACCAGGATGTGAAGTCATCTATCTGAGGCGAGAGTGATATATCCTATGATAATAGCCTCAGGAATCCAATTTGACACACTTGATTGTTCAATTCATTTTCAATGCTGAGCGGTATCAAGCTGTGAGGCTATGCTTTCAGACCACAGCAGGCAATTTTTTTAGTGCAATCATATAATTTCATTATTTATATGTTTATGTTACTGAGACCACAGTTTTTATGTCACAGCAGAGAAAAAAAGTTATTTGTATTCATCTATTTGATGTGAATTCTCTGTTTAGCTTGTTCAGACAAGAGATGCACAGATCCGATACCTTGAGTGGACATCGGCTCCGATATGATATTGGAGATTCAATCCAGTGCACTTTTCATAAAGCTGTTATTTAATCTTTTTGCTGCTCATTTGTTAATAAATAATAAAATTACATTTTTAACAATGTTTATGTCAAGGCTAAAGCCTTTACTAAGATGGCAAGATATACGTTTTTTATCATCCAACCGTTGAATTGGAAGGGTAGCGGCTCAGCACATACGCTCAGTACCGGTTTCGGTATCAAATTGGAGAAAATTGATCTGTAAATCTCTAGCTCAGACTGAATATTAGTTCAAAAAAATCTAAATAACAACTTTAAAAAGTATTATTACTAATATATATATATATATATATATATATATATATATATATATATATATATATATATATATATATATATATATATATATATATATAAAAGATTATGATATAATTTCTGTTCATCTCGTGAGTCAAAAGGACAGACACTGAAAAGGTCTTGTGCAACCTTTGGCCCAAACACAACCTCTTACTGTGACATTTGATGGAAAGAAGAAAGTCTTTGCCAGTCTTTTTAGTGATTTGTATAGTTCAGTTCTTGTTCACTCCTATGTCTTTGACCAGCACTGCAATGTCTGCAAAACTCTGGATGTTAAAAACAAATAAGGATTTCATTAAAAAGCTATTTAAATAGATTTAATATAAAAGCTGCTGCAGCTGCATGCAGACCTGAACTATCCTCTATGACCAAATATGGCTATTGTATCTGTTCTGTGCACAGCCAAGTGTTTTGGGGGGAGTTAATATAAACATCAGGCTGCCTTCAGACCATCAGCAGAGGAGATGGCCGATATGCCCTCCTTTTAATTAGAGTGGACCCTCCACTGGCTTTTCATTCCTATGTGAAATACAAGTCAGAGTGTGCAGAAGAACCTCAGACAGAGACATCACGTCAAGTCTATTTCTGTTCTCAGATACCACATATACACTATATTGCCAAAAGTATTTGCTCACCTGCCTTGACTCACATATGAGCTTAAGTGACATCCCGTTCCTAATCCATAGGGTTCAATATGACGTCGGTCCACCCTTTGCAGCTAGAACAGCTTCAACTCTTCTGGGAAGGCTGTCCACAAGGTTTAGGAGTGTGTTTATGGGAATTTTTGACCATTCTTCCAGAAGCGCATTTGTGAGGTCGCACACTGATGTTGGACGAGAAGGCCTGGCTCTCAGTCTCCGCTCTAATTCATCCCAAAGGTGTTCTATCGGGTTGAGGTCAGGACTCTGTGCAGGCCAGTCAAGTTCATCCACACCAGACTCTGTCATCCATGTCTTTATGGACCTTGCTTTGTGCACTGGTGCACAGTCATGTTGGAAGAGGAAGGGGCCAGCTCCAAACTGTTCCCACAAAGTTGGGAGCATGGAATTGTCCAAAATGTCTTGGTATGCTGAAGCATTCAGAGTTCCTTTCACTGGAACTAAGGGGCGAAGCCCAGCTCCTGAAAAACAACCCCACACCATAATCCCCCCTCCACCAAACTTTACACTTGGCACAATGCAGTCAGACAAGTACCGTTCTCCTGGCAACCGCCAAACCCAGACCCGTCCATCAGATTGCCAGATGGAGAAGCGCGATTCGTCACTCCAGAGAACGCGTCTCCACTGCTCTAGAGTCCAGTGGCGGCGTGCTTTACACCACCGCATCCGACGCTTTGCATTGCACTTGGTGATGTATGGCTTGGATGCAGCTGCTCGACCATGGAAACCCATTCCATGAAGCTCTCTGCGCACTGTTCTTGAGCTAATCTGAAGGCCACATGAAGTTTGGAGGTCTGTAGTGATTGACTCTGCAGAAAGTTGGCGACCTCTTCGCACTATGCGCTTCAGCATCCGCTGACCCCGCTCCGTCAGTTTACGTGGCCTACCACTTCGTGGCTGAGTTGCTGTCGTTCCCAAACACTTCCATTTTCTTATAATACAGCTGACAGTTGACTGTGGAATATTTAGGAGCGAGGAAATTTCACGACTGGATTTGTTGCACAGGTGGCATCCTATCACAGTTCCACGCTGGAATTCACTGAGCTCCTGAGAGCGACCCATTCTTTCACAAATGTTTGTAAAAACAGTCTGCATGCCTAGGTGCTTGAATTTATACACCTGTGGCCATGGAAGTGATTGGAACACCTGATTCCAATAATTTGGATGGGTGAGCAAATACTTTTGGCAATATAGTGTATTATGTCACTGTGATGTGAAGATACTCCTCAGAAACTATTCCTTAAAAATCAACATTGTCATCAAAAATGAGATTTATGAGGCAAAACATTTTAAAGTTTAGAAAAAAATTTAATAAAATTGGAGTATTGGGATATATTTTTTTCCTTTTTTGCCAGAGAGAATAACAGCTGCCACACAGAGATAAAATGCAACCCAAGGGCACTGAAGTGTCACTTGGGAGGATAAATGGGAGCCCAGAGGCTTAAAGACTAATGCTGAGAACTGATGTAAAAATTCTGACACTGGAACTGAGTAACCGACACCTAAAAAAAAGCAATAATAGCACTTTAGCCCAAATAAGTCTTCCTAATTTTATGAAATCTTAAAAGATATAGACTTGTAAGGTGACAAGCAGTTAAATACTACAACAGCGCTGTAAAACGTTGGAGCAAAAACACCTTGATGACCAGTAAAGTGCAAATACATGGATAATTCCACTCAGTAATGGATGGTAATTGCACCTTTCACTGCAGTTTGAGCTGATTCAATGTCCAGAATTTAGAATAAAACTACACATTAAAAAGTGAAATTAAGCTGAACAGTTATTATGACCAAGAAGTTGTGGAAAGAGGAAGGTATGTAACTATAATCTATAAAAAATATAAATAAACAGTAAAACACCCTAAATGAACTAGTGCAGACGCTGCAGTACTGCAGTTGTTGCTCTGGTCCTTTGTGATACAAAGAGAGCAGAAGGCTGTATGGACCCTTACAGTTTGGATGCAGAATCATAATTCAATTCCTTCATTGTCCCATTACAATATAAAGCATAATAAAATATAGATTAATGTAACACTTGGTGGTCTTAATAACTTAGACACCTAATAATTATATGTTTCAATTTGGTGAGTTTTCAAGAACTAAAACCTGGATTACCTTCTGTTTAAGCATTCAGGACTACTGATCAGCTCTGACCTGCTTTGCATGAAGAACATGTTCACTTGTCTTTCTTATTGTGAAAATGGGTTAAAAAAAACAACAACAACAAAAACTAAATTTTTATTTTTTTGCCTCTGCATATTTAAACTCTAGAGAAACAGTTTAGGATTAGAAACAGAAATTCCCTGAGCCCCTGAACAACTGGAAAAAGTAAAGGATCTCATTGTGTTACAGGTGCTTTAGTGGGAGCTTTCTTTTCCAACTGAATAACCAAATTAGCAAAGTGATAGATTATAATGTACAATTAGTAATGTACAGCTCTTTTCCTTAGGCCCCAGTATCCAGAGCACCCAATATTGTGTACACTGCAAAAACAATCTAAAAATTAGTAAACATGTATTAAATTAAGTGTATTTACCCTTAATTTGAGCAGGTGAATAAGATGATTTGCCAATGGGATTAATATTTTTACTCTTAAAATAAGATAATTATTTTAACATTCACTTCTAATAGGACAATATATTTGTTTTTTCTCTTTTTAAATGTAAATTGTCTTGTTCCATTTCCAAAGTGTCTCCCTTACCTCCTTAATTCAAGCAAAAATGCACTTATTTTAAGAAAAAATCACTTATTGAGAGTGTAGATATCATACTGCGTTTAGTCATATAAAAATCTATATTGAGCTCAAAACTGGATATAAGTTGAGGATAAGATGCTATTATTCTCAAAATCACACAACCGTATGATTGCAAAAACACTGCATTGTATTCCGGTTGGAGGCTTGCAAGCTGACTCACTGTTACGTTCATTCAGTTAACAGAGTATGATTTGTAGCTACTAGTTAAATAAAGGTGGGGGTCAGCTAGTTAAAAATATAATATCTTAATAAAGTGAAAAACTCCCCCATGCCTTCACCTTTCTTCACTGAGACAGTTTCTGCAAAATAAAGCTGCTACCTTTGTCAAATTCAGATTCGCGACGCCAGGACCGAGCACAAACCTCATCCGTCTCCACTTTGGGGATCCTGTTTGACTTTTGCAGACTTTTTATCTCAGGCATGGATTTTTAAACAAGCTCTCACATTGTTCAGATTCCAGACTACCCCAGTGAGATAAAAAATGGAAACAAAATACAATAAATAAATATAAAACAGTGCATGTGTGCGAGGTAAACTTATAACCTGAGCAAATATTCTATTTTCCCACATCTTGTGAAGACACTGTTGGTGGTGTTATGTAAATTATATGTTCTGTTACCTTTGCCCTCAGTATTTAACATTTTAGGTTGATAATTAATAGATTTCATGCTGGTTTGGGGCTTGGATTTCCAGAGAGTTGTCATTTAAAGTGGATTCTAATAAAGCTTGAGGTTAGAACGTTACATATTGTAGCTCCTGATTTTTTATTCTGTAGAACAATGACCTATAGTCCCAGCTGGTATCTGATATTTCAGAAGGTGCTATTAAAAAAAAACAAAAAAAAACTGTTGTGCTGCAGTGGGGTTTTTCTTCCTTAATAATTTGGTGTAGGGCTACAGCTAACGATTATTTTAGTTTTCAACTATTCTATCAATTATTCTGATCAATAATCCAGTAGATGAATGTGAGCACCTTCTACCCATATTCCTTATAACTATTTCATGATTAATTGAAAAAAAGCAAACACCTTAAGTGTACACTATATCAGATTTGCAGATGCCCTTATATGAATATCATGCATCTGCAGCTAAAAGAAGTAGCTATAAAATCAGATGAAATTATTTCAGACCTGCAGCCTGTTCTGGTTAAATTAAGAATGTTTAGGTTCCAGCTTGATCTGCAGTGAAAAACATTACAAACAAAAAAGCGGCGTGATATACATGAGATTTGTACACTTTTGGCCTGATTCCTGCTCAGAGTTGGTTGTTCTTTCAGTAAATGACAAGTTATCGAGTCCAGTTAAATTTTATTTGATTCATTAAATTATTCATGGGTTTTTTCAATATTTGATTAATTACAAATAATCTGAATATTTTAGCTTCAGTATAGTGCCTTGCACTTTTTCATAATTTGTCATGGTCCAAGGAAGAAAGAAATATTCCAAAGGAAATAGAAAAATTGTCTTTAAAATCACAAATAAAAAACTGAAAAGTTGGTTGGGCATTTGTGCACTGGCAGAAACCTCGTCACTCTGACACCAACCAATTACAATCCAGTGTAAATAGTTCCATACAGATAGCTGGTTAATAATAGAGTGTAATGTATCTCAATAGGTAGGTCAGAGAGTTCAGAGAAGTTTGTAGTATTGAAACGCTTATTGACCTTATTGAGACAACCAATGAAGTTCCACAAAGTATTAACTCAGGAGGGCTTGGTACAATTATGCACACAACTTTAAATTTCTAAATAAATAAAAAAATGTTTTATATTCCTTTATCTTTTATAGACCACCTTGTCTTGGTCTTTCTGATAAAATACATTAAAGCTTGTTGTTGTTACATGACAAAATGTGAAAATTTTCTAAGAAGGGTAAACAGTCTCACCAGCCACCCTATAGCTCTGCTTGTTTTATGCACAAAAAGGAACTCCAATGTTCTAGTTAGTGGTTGCAGGTAAATAGAAATGCGTTCCCTCTTGCTGAACACATGTAACTCAGAAGTGCAGATCAGACTGTCTGTTTACTGCATTTAGCCAGTTGATTTCTATATTAGGGGAAGTTATTTATACATGACCTATTATCATCCCATCCCCCTACTTCTCACCCTTCCAGCCCTTCAGCCATTCAGCCAGTCATTGACTTAAGGTTTGTATTAACTCAGGAGACATCCTCAGACCTGATTTCCAATTATGTTGCATTGTATATAAAGAGTGTTGGGCTGCAGGGCACCTGCTTTCTAATTAGCTAACAGGAAATTAGCAGAACTCTGCTGACGAGTCTGTGAAAGGCTGATCACACCACTGATTTAGTGCCTGTGTTGAAAGTCTTCTGACCAATTAAATTAGCTGAAAAGCAAAAAGAGAAAGGTTGTGGAAATTGTGTATTTTGCAAGTCTGGTTTAAAACAGTTGCAGCATGCCTATGTGCTATAAGAAATCTGTACAATGGGACTTTATATAACCAGCCCTGCTCTAATTATATCATTTATGAAATTTGTTGAAATGTGCCTTTAAGTAAGCAAAAACTGGATTATAACAGATGTGGCTGTTCTGCAACCTGAACATGCTTCAAATAGTAGGTGTTAAGTAATTTAAATGGACTGGATTTTAGGTTTGAGTTTAAAGTTTTTTGCTGAATTTATTTTACAGACATTAGCACAGAAATAAAACTAATTTGATCAGGATATGATTTAATCAGGCTGTTAAGGTTTTACAAAAATACTCAGGCAATTATAGTCCACTGAATACTAAATGTTCCAATTGACTGACTTAATTCCAGTTATTTGACCACTTGGGGACACTAAAATTGCATTGATAAATCTGAATAAAATATTTCTGTCTTCAGATGGCTAGTTGATCAAAAAAAGTCCTAAAGTTTTACTTTGTCAGCAAACAACATTAGCAAACTTTGAAACAAGGATGAACAATTACATACATGAAAAGAAGCTTCTCTTCCATGTTAAAATGAAAGGACAATAATATGCAAAGTGAATGCAAAGTTTAGAGAAACTTAATGTCATCAATACCAAAGTTTGATTTTCTTTCTTAGGGGAAATTATCTATATTTAGTAGCTGTAATGTGTTAGCTCTAGAATGTACCTGTACTTTTCTTTATGCTGTGCAGACACACATAGACAAAAGGCCTCACAGTCATACTCACTGTATCTTCTTTGTGAAATTTTTTGTCACAATGCCTCCCTCCTCCTGTTTTTCTTCATGTTTGCCTGTCAGAAAACAGAAAATAAATTTTTTAAAAAGATGTTATGAAGGTTAGCATAGAGGGGGAATATCCCATCCAGGGATGCTGTACCAAACCTGAAAGCTACATCAACATTTCAGGAGTTTTTCAAGCTATTGCCAAAAATAGAAAGGTTGTGCAAAAAGTAGATCTAAATAAATCAGTAAACATGATCTTGAACCATTTCAGATTACTCTTCTCCTTTTGAATTTGTGGGAAATGAGTATTCACGGATATAGGAGGCTAGGAGAAGCGTTGCCCCCCCTCATGGCTGCTCAGCTGCAGCTTTGTCCAGTGAGTAGCCAATCTCATTTACCCTACATTAGAAACTAACCCTGTCACTATTTTGATCTCAAATATGGACGTCAGTGGAAGAGGTGTGATGATTTAACTGAAGTTCATTTGGCACACAGGCTCCACCCGCGCCCTGTGTTTATTTCTGCCAAACTACATCAATCACATTTTCTTTACCCAGTTCTAGGAATCACTGTCCTGCAGAGACAAAGAGAACTAACGGCGTGAAGAACATGCAGTCCTGGAAAGCCTCTGCTCCACCTTCTCCCTTGCTGTTCATTATGTGCAAGCTGGTTTAGCTGACCAACAGCTGCTCCTCGACAGCTAAAATGTCAATGCTGCTGGGAGGAGTGTGGCCTGTGACTCTGCTCAGCGCCTTTGAGCACTTCAGGTTCAACTATGTGCAACCCTATACCCTACTGTGACATCTCTACCTGCTGACAGAGCTGCATTTCACCAGAAACTGAGGCTGAAGTCCCTGCGGAGGAGTGAGTTAGGATCATCAGTGAGGTCATAGGATTATTATGAAGACCTCTACATGACTTCAGAAGTACAAGTCATCCCCACAGAGCAATACAATAAAGTGCTACCTCCCTTGTTTTCCAGATGTTTCCAACTTTGTGTACCAAAAGCAGGGTGGTGTCTTAGTTCACAGTTTAAGGGGTACTGTTTGTGCAAATACATGACTTCTCGAAAGGAAGATGTTGACATTGTTAAAGTTTAACTGTATTTCAGAATTTAGTTTCAACATCGACTCATAGACCTTAAGCTTAAAAAAAGAACATGGAAAGCCTTATCGTGGTTATGATGAACAAGAGAGGACAACTCCTGTTGCTACAACATGACTTCAGTAAAAGTTTAAACTAAAACTGCTTTGTTTTGGGTTAATAATTTCTGTTCTCCTAGACTTTATTATCTGTATTTCACATATAGTAAGACCTTTGAAACATAACAATTAATGTGGTGTTAGGATTGACAAACTAAGGCCAATTAGCACCTGCAAGAAAAAAACTGAAAACAATATTTTATAATAAAAAAAGATCAATATTTGCCACAAATCAGACAAATACTGAGCAAGTTCCAACTGTAAGCTTTGAATGTTCATATCTTTACTGATGCGCCTAGGGTTGCATCAAATACCTTTATTTCACACAACCAATTGCTTAAAAGCAGGTTAACACTGGTCACAGTGTCCTTTTCTCTTTTACAACCACCAACACTCCATTAAGTTTTCTTGGTTTTTTTTTATTTTAGAAAATAGAGACAAATCTTTTTGAAAGCTGAAATTTGGTTCTAAAAATTGTATACACTTAATAAAGAAGGTCATTTGTTTGCTTCGCCATCTATTCCAAAATTGCAATTAGATATATTTTTGGAAGGTTGACTAAGATACTCTATATTGTGGACTGATATTTAGCAGAGCCAATAACTATTAGCAGAGAACACTTGAACATTTTTTCCAGAGAAATTAAGAGCTTAAAAGCTTTTTCAAGCGCCATATTCTTAATTCAGCTGATTTGAGTTAATTTGGGAAATATTAGCTTGAAAAATCACTAATGTTTGGTGTTCCATTTCACAGTCCTGTGGCAAAATGAGGCAGAGAATCTTACTTTGCTTTTAGATGCAGTAAAGTTTAGCCTACCTATTGCCTTTCATGGAAAAAACACATCTTACCTGTTTTATTGGTGTCCCTACCACAAATTTAGAACAGGCCGAACAGAATGCTGGCCAAGCCAGGCATAGGGCCGATTGAATAACCCAACTTACATACCAACAATGTGTTTATAGAAACTCAGAGCTAAATGCTCAGAGGAAAGGCAGCTGTCCTTAGTGGCCCCTTCAAACCTAGGTATCCCTGGAATTCATTTTTTAAAGCGTCGACAGGAGATAGAGGAAGTTTTTTTTTTACAACTTACTCCTGTGGTTGGAGATAAAACTTCAGTGGATCTACTGGGTAAAAGAACCGGCCCCCTTTTCCTTCCAGAACATTCTCTGTGTGACGTCAAGCAGCCCTTCTTATTGTAAACAGAGACTGTTGTCACAGGCCTTGCCTTAAAATCTAAAAAGAGCTCATGAGCGGCTGAGGGAGCGATTCTCCAAGAATCTGAAACAGGTGCCCGAGCTTTATGTTCTGCCAAACCACTTCTAAGTCACAAAAATATGTCTTCCTCTTTCATAAAAGGACTCAAACTAATGTATTTTCTTAACTCCTTTAGTTCATAATTCCTAAATGTTTCTGTCTGGCAAATAGAAAACAATCTACATTTATGTTTAATGTATAAACAGTATATTTCATTGATTTGCTGGATTCCATAAAAGCAAATCAAAAACACTGAGCCCAGAGCAGCAATGATTGCTGCAGAGCTAAAGGGATACTTCAATCTGGTCTCAATCAACTGCTACTAAGAGATGGAATTCAGTTATTATCTAACCTATGCCTGAATTGATGTCAAAACAATAACAAAATGAGAAGTTTTTAAAAACAGAGGCTAACGGCAGAGTGGAATCATTTCATCTTCTTCAACTTCCTCCATTTTACTAAAGCAATCTCAAAAAGATCCTGCCTTTTATAAACAGTATTTATTAAACCTTTAAACTGCTGTCATGTTTGCATTGGTTGGTAATTTGTTCATACGAAAAACAAAACAAAACAGAGAGGAAGCTATTCAGCATCAGTGATAATCTTGCTGGAAATATGTATGAGAAATATGTTAGGTGTTCAGATCTACTACTCGCTAGTTGGTAAGACAATGAAAATAGGAATAGTATAACAATCCCATGGAGCACAATTTCATTAATCTCAACAGAATTACTCTTGCTTGGCTGCTGAATGCAAACAAGATCACAGTTTAAAGGTTTATTGAACAGTCTTATATAAACTGCAGCAAACAACAACATTGGTGCTGTTAAAAGAATGCAACTTTCAAAGGTGTACTGGTCATTTTGCTCCTTTGTAGTATTTCCTGGATTTCATATCTTCAAGCTGTGACAGACGTTAGAGGAAGTTTTCAGAACTTATTATTAATATCCTTATGGTCAAGGACAAAACTTCAGAAGGGTTAAAGAATCCATTTTCCTGAAGATCTTTTGCACCTTCTTTACACATCTAAATTAATATGATTCAGGCTTCATTAAGTAATAATTGTCATCAGGAGGTCATTTAGAGTTAGTTTGGATCCTAATCCGATCAATCGACCCAGCTACATTTACTTAAATTATGGCATGATATACTATTTGGAAATTATTAACCACCAACCTAAATTGTATGTTTCTTGGATTAAAGGTTTTAACACACTGGTGTATTAATTCCTAAAAACATTTAACCAAACACTAATGCAGTGGGTGTAAAGATAATTGCAAAAATGTTAACTAATTACAAAAGATCAATTAAAAAACTTTATTTTAATTTTACTAATGCTTGTACCTTATCGGATAAGATGCTATACAAATGAATGAAACCCAAAAAAAGCAAAAATTAACAAGTTTCCAGCTTAACCTATAAGTAGAGATAGTTTTTAGTCTGAGGTGGTGCCTGTAAAAGTGCAAAGGAACCACTGTGACAAACTTTGACATTTAGTTATTGAACATAAGATATAATAAACACAATCCACTGGAGAATACCAGTGTTTTTGTTTTTGTCCATCAGCATCTTCTCACCTGAAACTTCTACAAACCCGTCTCTGGTCTTCACGTTTAACTCCTCTGGTTTGAAGCTGTGGACGTTCACGCATACTTTCCAGGGTTCCCCGCCCGTGGTCGTGGGGGAGCTGCGTGGGGACGGCTCGCCGTACCTGCTGGTGTACAGCGCTGGGCCTCCCGTGGAGTGGCGAGCTGGGAAACCTGTGCGTAAAGGACCGGCAAAGGGCGACGTACCAAGGCGCGTGCTTAGCCGGCCGGGCCGAGCCCAGCCGGGCCAGTCCATGCCGAGATCGTCGGGGAAAGGCGGCATCCCGAAATCATCCTCCATGAACCGGGATGAGAGCTGATCCCGGAACGGAGACTGGTCCCTGAACGGTGATTCTCCAAACGGGTCTCTGGGAAACCGCTGCCGGTTCCCCATGGTGTAAAAGTCTCCTTCTGCCATCTTCAGCCGACCTCAGACTCAAAAAAGTTATTTGTTAGTGAAGTAGGTTGGTTGCAGTCTACTGTATTTTAGTTCTCTTGTCAAACTTTACGCCTCATTAAGCGCGCGCCCCCTTTACGCAGCGGCCTCCTGATCCGCTAAATCCAAACAAGACTTTCAGCTTCTAAAACTTTGAAGGGGATTTATTTATCTCCTCTGGCTTTGGCTTTTATACTGAGACCTCCCAGCTGATGGACTGCACACAAGTGTAAATGACGAGAAAGTACTGGGAGGATCTGGACAGTAATAACACTGTAAAAAAATACCATTTCAGAACAAACACCTTCCCTTAAAATCTTTATTTCAATGGAAACATTGTAAAAAATGCTGATCTATTTAGAGTTGACAATCTTTTTAGTTGAATTAATCTAATTGTACAACTTTAAATGAGGAATAAACAAGTTGGAAATACTGACATTTTTTACAGTGTAGGCGCAACAGCTGACAGAGGACCTGCCTACTTTTGACCAAACTGCGCTTCATGGAGTCCACATGTCAGAGGAGGAGCCCTCTTCGTGATGACTCAGAGGGTCCTTAATAGATTTGATCGGTCCAACGCACTGACGTCACAACATGAGTACAAGAAACAGACTTACTCAACTTTAAGAAACGGGGATGTGTTGACTCTCCAAGTTTAGAGCTGATAACAAGATGGCACTTCCTCAGGACCTTATATAGAGCTTATCCTAAAAAAAAAAAAACCGGTGTAAAGAGGGATGTTGGTTTCAGAATGTGCATAGGTATTCATAATTATGGAAATTTTGCAAATTCTGTCACATTACAAACCCAAAATATCTATGAATTCCACAAACCGGTGCTTCATTTTCAAGTAAAAGGATTCAGGGTTGTAAATTTTTAATGATAAAAATCTGAAAATCATGAGTGTATTTTGTCCACCCCTTTTTTTCTCTATTACATTCAGTCCAGGGCTTTAAGTCAACTACCATAATTAGAATTTGACTAATGTGTAATTTAATCTCAGTGTAAACACAGCTGCTCTGTGAAGGCCTTAGAGGTTTGTTAGAGAACATTAGTGAACAAGTAAGTAGTCATGGAGAAAGTTGTGGCTAAGTTTGAAGCACTTTTAGGTTTAACAAAATAAGAGTCTTTGAACACCTTAAAACAAAAGACGTACAGTATGGCACAACTGCTGCCAAAGACATGGCGTTACACTGAGCCACTGGGAAGGAGAGCATTTATAAGAAAAGCCGTTAGGAGGCTCAGGGTAATGGCATGGACTTCTTCTGGCTTAGGTGTGAAAATCTGTCATAAGAAAAGCATCTGTACAGTCACCAAATCTCGACTTAATGGTAGATGAAAGCTATTACTGAAAGAAAGACATATTGAGACGTATTTGCAACAAGTCATTTAGAGGAATGTGCAAACACGGCTTGCCAAAAGAGACCAAAATACTTTTTTGTTGATTAGTTTTTTTGTCTTGCCAAAAGGAAAAACACAATGTGCGAAAAGAAACAACTTGCCGAATTGCTCTGAGCTCAACATCCCAGAAATTAAAACACAACATCATGCTGTAGCGAACCTTGTCTTCAACAGGGGAAAATGTTAATAAGATACTAAAATTATCTAATTGTAATTATTATCTAAATTATAATAAAATTATTATTATTATTAAGTATAATGCTGGCCAATCCTGGAAGAAAAGCTGAAAGAGGCTTTCAAATACTTGATTTTGTTGCTGATGTTGACCTTGCAGGAGGGCAACACTTTTTTTTTACATACACAGAGGTGGGTAGTAACTAGCAACATTTAATCAGTTATATTTGCTAAATTAACTTTTAGAAACACACGTACTTTAGGAGTAGTGGTGCTTTTTTGTACTTTTGTATACTTTTGAGACCTCCGGCTTTAGTCAGAGTTTTGGTTTCTCTTGGATGGATGCTACAGTTTTATTGCTCTAAAACAACAAACTGCATTAATTCCTGTGTGTGTGTGTGTGTGTGTGTGTGTGTATATGTGTGTTGGGGGGGGGTGTTGGGGGATATATGTTGATTGAAGTGTATGGGTGAGTTTATGTATCTGGGGGGGTGTTTGTACCGCTTGAAGATTTATATCATCATTTGGATCTGCTTCAACTTGTAAACTTCCCATTTGTTTCTGCCAATTTATTTGGCTTTTGTGTCCAAAATGGTTATTTTTTTCGAATTCATCTTGGATTTACGCACATTAGATGCTGTTGAGATAAACTCTCCACAAAATAAACTAAAGCTTGTTTGGAGCCCTTTCCTCTAAGTGATAATCTTATGAGGTATTGCTAATTCTACTTGAGTACATTTTGGGTTACTTTTACCATCACTAGTAACTTGAGCTAAAAACAGTGTATGGTAAATATAAATATTGTAAGCCCTTTATCCTTGCCCTACTGTATATAGATGTCCTTGAATTGCAGGGACAGTCCCCATTTTGGACAAAATAAAGCTCTCCCTGGAAATATCTCCTATTTCACAGATTAATGAATTAGAGGGAAAATGTTGCGTGTGGAAAGAAAAATGTTATTACTGTAGAAATAGTGTGTGAGGATGTTGCATGCAGGAACAGCTGTTAAGGTTGCTGGTTGTGCTTCTGTAAACGTAAAGATGAGGAACAGAGCAACATACCAATTTTAATAAAGAAAAAATAGAAGTCCATAGACACAAGCGGTCACAACTGGTGGGGAGCTGCCAGGTATTAGGCTCTAATCTGGTACGGTAGTTCTCCTGGGATCAACAAAGGTTCATTTAAAGATGTTTTAGAACTAATTGCTGACCTTTCAAATAGTTATTATAAGTAGAGTTAGTATATATTGTCATGCTGATTATTATGTGATTTATGAGCATACACTTCAAAGCCTAGATTGGCTTTTCTACTACTCAGTTTGGATATATGAAAGTTCCTCATGAAAAAAACAAGAGTCAGTACCAGGAAAACTGATTGAGACAAGATCTACTTGGTCTGATAACGATGGAGTAAGAGATAACCACCATGTATAATGTCTGTGTAATGTCCTTCCGTGTATTTTTTGTCTTCTTGGATGGGCTGCACCAACTTGCCCTTGACTCTGAACTTGCCCTTGGGGATTGATTAATCATAATTCAATTGAATTAATGATCATTTATTATGTTGTTTTGGTTGTAGCTACAAATATTGTGGTAACTTGCATTTTTAGTGTTTAATCAGGTGAAAAAATAATCATAACAAAAACTACAATAATAATAATAGTAATAATGATAATAATTTTAGTGGACACCTTACCGTATGTTTTATCTACTGTAATGATTTGGTTTTTAATGCTATATAGAAAATGTTTATGAGGAAGTGTTTCTTCTTATATTGTAATCATCTTATTGATGACAGAATTTGCACATAACTGTCTGTCTGATTAAACTTTTTTTTTTTTTTTTTATAAAATCATTGTTATGAGTTAGTACTGAGTCGCCGTTTTTACCAAGTATTTTTTAACTTTTACTTGAGTAATTTCTTGGATAACTACTTTCTTTTGCAAAAGTAAAAAAATTTAAAAGTAATGCCACTTCTACTTGAGTAAATTTGTGGGGGAATCTGTACATACAGCCAGAGTGGAGGATATATTGGCCAATCATATATAATCCTAATTTATGGAGTTTTGGGTATTTTTTTTTCTTAATAAGACAAAATGGGGAAAAAAAGCAAAAGAAAAACAAAGGGAATAAATACATTTACAACACATTTTATGCATATTATATCAAGGTTCCATTTGACACTTTATTACAATATGAATTTTACACTGATACACATGCCGTTCAAAATATGTTTTTGTATTATGCTTGTTTAATATTGAAAACAGGGATAAAAATGCATTGTTTCACAATGAAACACGGGATCTCTATTGCTTTTTTTTTTTAAATAACAATAATGTTTGTTTATACATTGTATCCATGATGTTATCAATATGCCTTTAATTCTGTGCTGTAAATTAAAAAACAATCGAAACACATTTTGTACTATTTACACAGTCCTGGTGCCTATTCACAACACATTAAATACATATTCAAGCTCCTGTTTGCACAATATCTTGAGGTGAGGACATTACTGGTTGAATACTTTCATCAACAAAACTGTGCAAATCTTCCACCGGCATACACTGGTTCACGTCTGCCATCATCAGTTGGGTATATGGATGATATTTTGTTGTGCCAAGTTTTTCCTCTTCCAGCGGCATATTTCCCTCATTTGTCCCATTTAGCTGACATTTAGGGAAATAAGCTGAGAGAGTTGAGTGCATAGAGAGCAGTCTGTCAGGCCTGGAGCAGAAACACAGACAGGATGAAGGATCTAAAACCATTAGGAAGTATGACCCTTAATTATAAGCAAAAGCTGTTTTGGAGTTAGAGCAGCCACAAAATTAACTTTGAAGGAACAGTGACATTTTGGAAAAAATAGCCTATTTTCTTTAAGCTAGTCAAAGGAAAATAAGGTATAATGAGTCGCTGTGCTAAGGTGATACTGTGGGTTTAAAATATGTTGAAGAGTTATCTCATTTTCTTGACATAATTAAGCTTCTTTGTCCCTTAAATAGATTCTTTACTATCTGAAGAAAATAAGGTAACTCATTATCTAAAGATAAGAGTCTGTCTGGGGGGGACAAAAGGAAGGATGAATATTTGGTAAAGCACCTCATGTCCAATATTTATAATGGTGGATGATCTGTGATGTTATAGAGCCTTGTTTTTCATCATAAGGTTCCGGATACCTTGTTAGAGCTCATTGCGTCATGACTTTCATCCAAGGAAATTCAAAGTAAAAATATGATAAGCTCTGCCAAAAAAAAAACCCCAAAAAAGGCAACTACTAAGTCTTTCAACATGATAACAAACACACAGAAATTGTTTATAACACAAATATTTAAACCTATTTATCTTGCTCAGTCCTAAAATCAAAATGCTGTAGAAAATGTCTCTCTGCAGCTGTTTTTTTTAGAAAGAAGAAAGAGAACCTACTGTAAGACTACGGACCAGGGAAGCCCCAATATCAGCTTCAAGTACTCATACTTGGTAAAGCAACCAGATACTGTGGACCCATCCCACTTTTATGTTTTTCAAAGATCATGGTGTCAAAACAACAATATCCAGACGAGCTTTCCTTATGTGGAAAAAAGCCCTCTCCACTCTACCTCAGCTGTAGAAAATCTATTTTTCTCTTCATAATGCCTAACCTTTTATTTAAGGCTCAGTCAATAATTGGCATCGGTAAGTACTAAAATGTTAGCTCTTGTTCTTGTTTTCATATTTGTTTTGAAGAATTCTGGCATTGGTTTATAACTATGTTGGATTTGTTAGGACTATGTGGTGTCCTATGAATAAAAGGGCACTGTACAAATTCGCAGTGGAAATTAGATAATATCAGATTTTATTAAAATAATTAAAAGTAAAGTAAGTAAAATGCCTCGACATCCGCAAATTAAGCTGCTCACTTTTTTTTAGGCAGGTACAAAAATGGCTCCTTTGATCTAAAAGGTTGCTTAGTAGGTGTGGGAATAAGGAGAATAGGCAACCAGGATAATATATGATGCCCAATAATTGCCATATGAAAAAACAACGTTTTTAATGTTCTCTTTAAGGATTTTTTTTGCTGTACAAAGCAAAACTTCATTTTGTATACACTTTGTGTATACAAAATGACATTAAAGGTTGTCTAGGCCACGTTTTCTTGCATATTTTAATTCTCAGCACACCTACATGAAATGGTTTCACTACCACGACAGGAGCCATCAAAGGCTACAGAGGCCTGTTAATAACCAATTTGTTTAACACATTTAAAAGAAGGGTAAATAACGCTATTTGATTGAGGAAGAAAATCATCACTAAACAGAGGGGGATGATTTCGGTTTTAGGTACCAAGCAAATGTAACTGTTTCCTGGAAAGAAATTACATAAGCAGGTTCACCATTATGAAATTTATGCCCTAAATCAAATCTCATGAACAGCCACACAAAAAAACATGGTTTGATTACTGATTTGTATCTAACTTGGAGGCTAGGTCTAAGGGTACTTCAAAACATCACACTGCAAAAAATTGAAATCTCAATAAGTTATATTTTCCTAAAATAAGTGAATTTTTTTATTAATCGAGGAGTCAAGTGGGACATTTTGCCATGGAACAAGACAAGTTACATTTAAAATACGAAAAAGCAATTGCATTGCCTTATTTAAAGTACATGTTATCTAATTGTATTAGTTTATCAGGGGGAAAAAAACAGTTAATTTACCTGCTCAAATTAAGGCTAAATACACTTAATTTAAGAAATTTGTACTTATTTCTAGATCGTTTTTGCCTTGTAGAACGGCGGTTACTTCAGTGCAACCTGCTAGACTTGACAACGACTCTTGGATAGTTGTTGAAACTGAGCAAAAGTCTGGTTGACCACCTGTGCATAACCATTAGGGACATATACTACAAATTAGTGGAGACTGAAAATTCATTAGCCATATGAAAACATAAATGACTGGGTTTGCTTGGCTGGACCTCTGCTTCAACCTTTGGACTTTTTGGTGTCAAAAATTTGTTAAATTTTACAGGAGAACTGTTTTGTGGTTGTGTTGAAAGCTAACAGGATTGCATATGAAAACAGAGGACTTAGAAATGAAACAGAGAACCAATAAATATGAAAGAACTCATAAATATGGATTCAAATGCACAATTTAAAAATGGCTACAGGTTTGGTTACAGTGTTATATAAATATTCAAGTCATTATAGAATACATGAATTTCACCAGCTTTTATAACCATTTTACCTGATAAAAAGAAACAGCAGATTTATTTGTTCAATAAATAGCGAGTACAGGTGAGAGAACATTTAGCACAGAGAGGAGAATTACAAAATGAATTACACCATTTGAACTTTTTATGCTTTGTCATTTCACAAATAAAATTAAGCAGGTTAGAATTTATATTTAGAATTTGAGATAAGCTGAACCCTTAGGTACAGATAACTGTAAAGAAGAAGTAAAGATATATGTCATTAAAAACCTTTTACAAGTATTGCGACAAACTGACAATAAAATCCAATCCAGAGGTTTTAATATGTAAAGAGAGACCAACTGTGTCATCTAATAATAGAATTACAGGTTATAAACGGCTAATAATGATGAAAAACATCTGTGTTTCATGTTGTGATATGACAAAACTAAAAAGTTCAACAGGTAGGAATACTTTGGGAAGGCAGTGTACAGTGTGATCACATTGTATTTTTAGGGGATAAACATCAAGTTTGATGCTATGAAAATGTTGCTCTAAATGCCCACAAGACAGAAATTAGAAATCGTTTTTCACCTGAACAGAGGAAAAATTAAAGTGACATTTTGGCTCACCGTCATGCCACCCAGTGCTCAGGAAACATGTTTGTTCTCCTCCTTGTGAAGTGCTGAGATCAGAGCAAAAATCCTTTTGCTGATTCCTGATAACGATCCCTGTGAAGCTGTCTACAAACCCAAGGATCAAACAGCTTAAATGTTACCACTGTACTTCATCTCTTGGTGTAAAGTCAGGGTCATGCAGACCTGACGCAGAACAGTTCATGCCTGCTGCCCTGCTAAACGTCAGGCCATAAACTGAATATGGGATATTGTAAGTGAAGTCCAAAAAATGGGACAAACTTAAATTAAGTACTTCTTGGGCAGGTTTCAAACCAAATTTTTCTTCCTCATGAATGTATAGTAAATATTGTGTTAATTCTAAGGAGTAAATGGATAATTTTAATAAGAGGAGGGCAAACTTGCATCTCTGATAGATATATAAACAAACGCTAGTTTGATAAATAGGAAAATACAATTTCCCTTGTGATACAAGTGCATGATGTGCAGGAAGAAAAACTAAAGAAAGCAAAATGTAGCCATCTATGGTCTCTGTGAATTGACAAAGGGGGAATGTCTCAATTACACTCCCAGAACATATTTGCCCAAGCATCAGTGTGATTCACTGCATGCAGTTAACAGCTCCAACAGCCATTGTCCTGATTAGGAATAGAAATGAAGTTTTTGTCCCTCCAAAGAGATTTGTCAACGCCTGGTTTTCCTTCGTTTCTTCAAGGAGAGACGACTCCGGCTGCGACTGTGGGACCCAAAGATCGAGTTCCATGATGAGCTCCGACTGTAGCTTCTATAGGAAGAGAAGCTCCGACTATGACTGCGGCTGTGTCTTATGCTGTAGATCGGACTGCGACTGCGGCTTCGTGTAAAGAGGCTGCTCCATGATGACACGCTGGTGGAACGGTTGCTGGAAGAGGGGCTGGGTCGGAAATAAGGGATGGGTCGCTTCCTGGCACTGCGGAGATATTAAGAAAAAGTAGTAGCAGAAATTATAGCAGACAGTTTTTCAGCATAATAAAAATGCAAAAAATGGTGTTGATTGTGAAGTTTTTCTAAGAGAGTAAAAGGATGTTTAAGATGTTATTTTAAGGTCAGTTCTAGTTTGCATGGGTCAGAAGGAGATCTCAGTCATGGTAAAAATTAAGTTTTTCTAAATCAGTCCCTAATAGAGTTAAGAAGGATTTTGTCTGAGTCAAGTTTACAGAGTACATATATATACATATATATATATATATATATATATATATATATATATATATATATATATATATATATATATATATATATATATATATATATATATATATATATTCAATAGAGTAAGTATCTATACTGTTAATCATTAAAAAAATTACCTCTGATAATGTTTTAGTTTCTTCTTTTGGAGTGTGATTTATAAGAAGCTTTCCAAATAATCTGTTAAAAATAATCCAGGTTTTAGATTGGTATTATTTCCTGATCTGCTTCTTTAACCTACTTTGGGTATGCCGCTAACAGTTTTCTTAAAATTTAGCTAAGTATAATTTTAAAGGGTTGCATAAACACATCATTTGTCCTTCTGGGTTGCTATGTGGTCAAACAACCAAATATGTAAAATTGGCTAAAGATTGGCTAAAATTTGCTTTACCTTGTGATGCGTCGTGCCTCTAGGTGGCTCGGTGAATCTCTCCTCCTCTTTCTCATTGGGGAGTAGGATTTCCTTCTTCGTCTCTTCCCACTAACCTTATGTCTGTGTTTCATATCCTTCTCTCTGGAACTGGACCGTCGCTTTCTATCTCGCCTTCTGGGGAAAAGGGTGAATATTTGGTTAACAAAAATATTATTGCAGGCTTGGTTGTAAATCAGCAGCTTGAAACAATTAGCTACCTGTGTGCGCTGTACTTGGAGTAGCTTTCTCTTGAGCTCAAGCTGACCAAGCTGCCTCTTCTCCTCGTGTCTGATGAGTAACTCAGAGAAGTTGAGTAAGAGCTGCAGACGATAAATAAGTTAACTCTCAAAATATTTTCTCTGTTAGAAATAAATGTGGTATTTCCTAAAACACAAAACCATGTAATGGACAAAGATGAACTTAGATAAATTACCTGCAAGAAGACAATGAAGTGCTTCGAGAATGGCGCCCAGAGTACCGGGAACTGACTGAGGATCTGCTCCTACTGGTAAAGGACAGGGTTCTCTTCCGAAATCTCTTTCGATATGACCTGCTCCTCCTATGTGTACACCTGGCTGTCTTCCGGCATCTCAAATCTTCTTCCTCACATCCCAAGCTTATCTGCGTACTGCAAAAAGCCCCAAACCATAAAGAATATTTTAGAGTTTGAGGGATACATTGCATCTCCAAACTGCACTACTGCTGCTAGTTTTACTGCAAGCATGGAAGACCATCCACAGATTGAACAGGTAGCGCTCTGATGCAGGAATGGGGACTTTCTTCCATTGCTGACCCCTGTTTTAGAGGTATACTACCCAGTTCAAAGGATTGCATGCTCTCCTCAGGAGCCATTTAGTGCTGCAAAGGCCTAGTAATCACATATTCATATAACTTAAAACTGAGGCATCTCAAACATAGAAGACAGAGGCACTTTAGGAGCGAGGCTGGGAAACACTACTTCAGATTTTATTTTAAGAAAGTTCTGTGAAAAGTTTGTAAAAAGTTCTTTTAACTCCAACTAGACTTCTAACACCTGTAAACAACTCAAGCCTAAAATGACTCGGAATATAATGAATTACTATTTCATTAACCTTTAAGTTATTGTCATGTTTGCACTGATGGGTCGAATAGCAAGTTTAAGTTTATCTTTTAAGATCATTTCAGGCGAGAACATTATACCCTAAAGCTACACCATGTGGCCCATTTCCTGATTTAGTGAGTAATTGAAAAAAAAGTTCAGATGTTGTGAGGACCGTCGTAACAGTGAACTTCTGAGGCTAACCGTAGCTAAGGCTAACTCTAACCCGTCTACCGCAGCCTAGACATGTGTGAAACACCACTGGCTCTGATCGAGGTTTGTTTTTTTTTATGCAAAATGTTCACTTGATTTGTCTTTATTTGACTGTTAAGCATTATTCTCTATATAATATCTATTCTTATCTATTAAGTGCAGAAGGTAAAATGCAGGGCCAGATCAGCCATGCATATGGTGATATCACAGGTCCATACTCACATTCTTGTTAATTGAGGAACAGCCATGGCCTGGGTTTGAATGTTTGCCCTAATCACTGTATAGGGTACTCTATAGTGGTTATGCAATTTAAGATGGCCGTCTGAACGTCCAGTGGATGAAACAGTGGTAGACTTGAAATTTCCCACAAAGCACCTTGAAAACTAGTGATAGATCCCACAACAAATGTTTATGATGCTTTGCGAGGAGAGGTCTCGCGGTCTCGGTTTCAACATGTAACATGATTCTATGGTCTATTAGAGAAGCAAAAGGTTCTGAAGAAGCAAAGGTACTTTAGGTGTTACAGAGCGCACTATGTTAATTTTTTTTAACTTTTCGATCAGAAATGTATTCTGGATCTAAACTTCTTGCTTGTTTTTAGTGTGTGTTTCATTCAGTTTCTTATACTCATTTCCTTTGTAAATGAGGATTAAAATAACTGCACAATGCAAAAAGGGATACGGTTGAATTATTTTTGGGGTTTGTTTGCAAAACACAGTGTGACATTTTTAGGACTGCAGTTGTTTAAGGATGTTAGAAGTCTTCTTTTATCTTGGTCCTTCTCAAACTAGCCTTCGGCTTTAGCCGGAAACACCAATTGATGTTGATTTATACTAGCAACAAACCCCAAGAGATTTATTTACTGTTCAACTTTCCTTTAAAAGAACAGCAGTTAAACAGCTGAGAGCTATCCATTTGATATCATAGATTTTTAACAACACTGTTTTAATCTGATGGTAATTTGGTGGAAACACTCCCCGTTTAAAAAAATAATAAATAAAGGGAACATACAAATAACACATCCTAGTTTAGATTGTATTAAATATTCTCATTGAATAATTTGTTGCATATAACATTGAATGTCCTGATAGCAAAATCACACATAAATCATCAACTGAAATCAGAAGTATCAACAAATGAAGGCCTCGATTTAGAGTCACACAAAAAAATTAATAAAAGTTGAAAAATCGATACAGACTGATCCAACTTTGATGCAATGTCCTTATTCCTTTAAATCAGGTCAAAATGAGGCTCAGCATTGTGTGGCCTCCACATGCCTGTATGACCTCCCTACAACACCTGGGCATGTTCATGATGAGGTGGTGGATGGTGTCCTGAGGGATCCCCTCCAAGACCTGGACTAAAGCATCCACCAACTCATGTACAGTCTATGGTGCAACGTGACATTGATGCATGGATCGAGACATGATTTCCCAGACGTTTAATCTGATATAGGTCTAGGGAACGGGCAGGCCAGTCCATCACTTCGATTCCTTCATCTTACAGGACCAGCTGACACACTCCAGCCACATGAGATATAGAATTGTCATGCATTAGGAGGAACCCTATGCCAACTGCACCAGCATATGGTTTCACAACATGTCTGAGGATTTCATCTCGGTACCTAATGGCAGTCATGCTACTTCTGGTGAACACATGGATGGCTGTGCAGCCCTCTAAAGAAATGCCACCCTACACCATTACTGACCCACTGCCAAACCAGTCATGATGAAGGATGTCTTAGACAACAGATTGCCCTCATTGGTGGCTCCAGACTCTGCCTCGTATGTCACATATGCTCAGTGTGTTTTCATCTGTGAAGAGTACATGGTGCCAATGGTAAATTCGCAAATCCTGGTCTTCGCATCCTTCACATTGTTGTGCTGTAAACAGAACCCCATCTGTGAATTTGGGGCCCTCATATAACTCTTGTGGAGTCAGTTTCTAACAGTTTGTGCAAACACTTGCACACCTGTGGCCTGCTGGAGGTCACTTTGCAGGGCTCTTGCAGTGCTCCTCCTGTACCTCCTTGCACAAAGGCAGAGGTAGTGGTTTGCTACTGGGCTGTTGCCCCCTTAAGGCCTCATCCTCATGTCTTGGTGAACTGGCCTGTCTCCTGGAAGCGCCTTCAGCCTCCGGACACTACGCTGACAGACAGAGCAAACCTTCTTGCTACAGCTTGAATTGATGTGCCTAACGGGATGAGCTGTACTGTCTGAGCCATTTGTGTGGGTTGTAGAGTCCTTCTCATGCTACCACAAGTGTGAAAGAACCACCAACTTTGAAAAGTGACCAAAACATCAGGCAGAAAGCATAGGTAATGAGAAGTTGTCTGTGGTCCCCAGAGTGTGTGTGAATATGGTTTGCTAATTCCTCATAAATCCGACCTTCTATTCCATATGCCCAGCAAATTAAATTGATTTGTCTAGTGTTGATTAGTGTTGCTTTCTAAGTGGACAGTTTGATTTCACAGAAGTTTGATGTGACTGAAGTGATATTGTGTTGTTTACATGGTCCCTTTATTTTTTTGAGCAGTGTATGTTACCCTTACTTAGAAATTATTTTCCAGAACAGAAAGTACACAATAGGTGAAGGAACATTTAAGTTAGCATTTAGTTCAAGGAAATATGAAAACCTGTAAATAATTATGACAGATTCAGTATCTTCTGATGGCATAGGCATTAAAATCAGAAAATCTTAAGGGCTAATAAATACGTTTTGGAAAAGTAAGCGGTAAGTTTCATAAATATCCCAGGAAATTACTGATTAGTTCCCAGAGTTAACTGAGATTTCTGTGAAAGTACAATTTCAGAAAAGTATTGGGTAAATTATGCAAAGTATAGGATAAGTTATTTAAAGTCAAAATAATCTAACTAAATGTAAGGTATGAAAACTTTTAAATTATTGTGAAGATCTATCTTTTGTTAACTGTTAAAGGGAGCCCTGGTTCATACTAATATTTTTCAGACAGAATGTTCACCTCTTGCTGTTTCCACTGAAAAGGGTAGCAGAGAAGCCATCATCCCTGTAAGGTTTGCATGAAGAAGCGTAGCTTGTCACAGAGTTTCCTGAATCAGAGCCATTATCTCTGTCAGCAAAGTGGTGCTTCTCAGGAGGTGAGGTAAGATGTTGACAGCTCCTCTGGTTCTCCACGACGCTTGCCCGAGAGACACCAGTTTTGCTTGACGGAGGTGAAGATGTGTCGTTACCAGAGTCGTAGTCACGTGGACCTCCAGTGTGACTTGAAAAATCCTGGGCTCCATTCCCATTTAAAAGCTTGCTTCCTGGCTTTGAAGGCAAAATCTGCAAACAGACAAAGAGGATACAGCTTAAAACCCAACTTGCATGGAAAGGAATCTGCTACCTGCTTTGATTTACTCTGAATACACTAGTACAAAGGCACGTATCCCACTGAAAGCACAGTTGAGATTTATTTTTTCTTGGGACAAAAAGCTTTGAAATAGAAAGACATCATGCAAATTTGAAGCATGCGATTAACCTCGAAAGAAAGTCTGAACTCAACTAAAGTAAAAGAAATCAACAAGGAGACAGTCTTTTAAGTAGGTCTGGACTATAACAGTTATATGGAAGAAATAAAGAAGAGAGCATAGTAGAAAGAAGTAATCTATGAGCAGAAAGATCTACCAGCTCTAACTCCAGTGAGGAGGAAAACAGAATATACAATAACCCCATTGAAAAGCCTCATTAAAAAAAAAAAAACATTGAACAAATGTCACAAAAATGGGTTTTATGTAGAAAAGAAAACGATTGAAGACTAAGAGAGATCCCATCAGTCTAACTAGGAAAGCCCTCAGAATAGGACAGATTATCGTTTTTCTCCCTCCTGTAAAAACACATTGTTAGCCTGCACCGGCCTTCAAGTAAATCCCTGAATCTGCAGATAGCAGCAACTTACCAATCAAGATTTCCTCCTTAAGTAGGTACGGTGTAAAAAAAAAAGGGAAGAGCGGGCAACGTAAGTGCATCATTAGAGTCGTAAATTGCATTAAAAAAAGACAATAACCCTAAGCCAGTTATGATTTTTGACACTGCTTTGGTGTTTTTCCGGGAGTGGATATACATCGCTCTCCACACTGGTTAAGCAAGCTTTATAAAGACATGGGAAAATCTTAACTCAATTGACCTCTCTCCAGTAGCATAATCTCCCACTGAATACAATAAAATAAAAATAAAAAAACACTAATAACTTAAGTTATATCTGCTTACTAAAAAACTGCAGCAACTCTTATTAACATCATTGTTTATTCTGTTTGGAAATAGCACTGCATTAGTACCTTCCCATTACATTTTTTATGTTGGAGAATACTAAAAGAGAGATGATTGATGATTGTTTTTTCTATCTCTTCAAGTTATCCAGATCTATGGTTCCTTTCTTTTGCTTTCTTTTATTTGCTGACTTCACAGGTTTTCAACAGAAGTGTCATGTGATGACTGAGATGGCAATAAAAGAAGGCCAGTTACTCTGGAAAAATAATATGATTTGCTTTATCCTGTTGAAAAATATTGGTTATCGTAGTTTATGGGTGAAGCTCTTAGACAATCTCAAAATGTCAAAAAATTTATGCATTGTGAAAGTCTTGGCCAAAAAACATAAAAAAAAAAAAAAAAAAAAAGTATTCACTCTTAGTTGCCTTAAAGCTCAATTTTGTTTTTAACTGAACCAAATAATTGATCATGATATTTGTGATAGGAGGATGAATAATCAAATAAACACTAATAATAAAAAAAGACTGTAAAAGCAGTGATATAAAAGCAGATTTAGACATTTAACTCCAATCACATCCTCCTCAATGCACAGTGGCAAATTTAGGATTAGGTCCTGGTCCAGCGATATTTACACATTGGACAGATGTAGGTTTTTATTGCTGTGCTGACGGTAGATATGACCAAGTTAGGCATGGACTATCATCAGTAATTCCTGATCAGTATACATCTGTCATGATGGAATGGCATGTTTGCATGTCTTTAATGACATGGAAATGGGACCTATCTTATTGCAGATTTATAACCTGCAGAAACAGTAAGTTAACAATGACTGTTAGTGACTAAAGAGCTAGGATGAAAAAAAGGAGAAATAAAAGGTTTAGGGTAAGGGTTTAAGTAGAATTAATTCCCCCAAAAAATGTTAGTAGCGGCAATAATCTTAGAAAAGATAGTTTTGTAGAAAATATATAGTTTCCAGAGAGAGATTATGTTTCTGCTATTAAAGATTACCTTAATATAAGGCTTTTATCAGTCAGTGTGTGGTAATGTATGTAGCTTTTCATTTTTTTTACATTTTATTAAAAGTAACAACAGATGCAAAATATGAAAAAAATAAAAAATAAAAATAAAAGTAGTTTGCTTGGCCCTCTCCTCCAGAAGGTTTTTGCAACCATTAGTCTGCACAACAACCACAAGGGAAAAGATAATCAGACCTTCTTCCATCCTCTGTAAAAGTAGTGCTTTCACACAATGTGTTCACACTTGGGGCTAAAAGGTTTCACACCTTTTAATCAAAGACATTCTTCTATTGCACATCGACATCTCCAACAGAGCTACCCTCAATAAAGTATTAAATGTTTTAAAAAACGCACTTTTCTTTTTTATTGTATTTCTGATATCAAATGCCAGTTTTGAAAACACATTTCAATACATACAGCCATTTTAACCAGGTATGCATATTTTGTATACTCACATAGACATCATAAATTACTACAATAAATACAGTGCATTCCTGTATAGGATGGCTAAACATCAGTATGTGAAGTCCTCCTTAGTAAAAATAAAATAGATGTTGACATAACTGGATATATGAATTAATTTACTGAATTTCAATTAAAAACTGTTTGGTGTGTAATTAAAACATTCATATTTTCAATTAGCATAATTTTAATGATTACTGGGGAGAAATTAAAGATGTTTCATGCTCCAGCAAGAAGGAGACAATTGGTTTAGCTGTATTTCTAAGGCTCTGAAGAAAAACAACAACAACAAAATCAACATAAAGCGGCAGCACAGTTACCAGCTGTATAATGAGAGCTTTAGGGAACATTTATATGTTAGAGTCAGAAGAATATCTCAAAAATAGCAAAGGGGGGGGGGGGCATCGAGAGTCTAAACCATTATGTATTTCTATTTTAATATATATTTTGTATTACTTTAAATACATTCACAAAATAATTTTACAGAATGCCAAATATAGAGATAAAAAAAGATATACAAAGAGAAATACACTAATTCAGCAGCTTTAACCCACAGGTTCATTAAGCAAATACAATCATAGGGTGCTGGCTGCCTGAAGTTCAGTACATACACATCATAGGGAGCTATTTCAAACAGAAGTGGAGGGTATCTGTTATCCACTCCTTTACATTATGTAGTGAAGTTAGGCTTTGAGGGTGGGGTTGATCAGGCCCCTTTGACGTTTTCATCAGAGTTTTAGCTTCATGCATGTTTTGCACAATTTTACCAAATTAAATTGCAGGACTTGCCACTTTTCAGCACAAATGGAGCACACCACTGCCATCACATTTGACTTCACTCTCCATTGCTGTATTTAACTTGCTTAATAAGCTCTCTCTGTACTTTCTTTTAACATAAGGCCAGCTTCCATTTACATATTAAGATTGAACTTGCATACAATATTTAAAAATGGTCTGGATATTCAGTTAGAAATCTGAAAGGTAAGTCAGCCTTGCAAAGAGCATTTGCAATGAATAGTTATTAAAGCAGTCTTTATAATTCAGACAGGAGCTTCTAAGATTTGCACGTGAAGGGATAAGAAGGTTAGGAGACTTATTTGTGTCAATCCACTGTAATTCTCACTACAAATTAAATTATAAAGGGGTTTAGAAATGCTTAACAAGAAGCTAAATTATTGAGATGAAGTTTGCTGGGGGGAAAAAAATATCACTTTTTTTCTAGAATTGTCTAAGCATCAAACCGTTGTTTAACAATAAAACTACTTAGGTAGCAAATAAATCTGAGGTAGGTATTAATTTGCAGCACCGATCATTTGAAATCATGTAAAGCAAATACAATAAAATAGCAGTCATTGTGATCAAACCACACAATTTAAAGTATGGTTTCAGTACTAAGAACCCAGATAGTTATCAAGTTGTTTTATCTGCAGCAAAGAGCATATAGAAACCCATGCTAATGTCAGACTTAAACTATATAGAAAAACCGACTGAGCCACTCCTTATGCTGCCTTTTGGTATTGACTTTGTTGTATATTTAGGTATCTAACAATGTTTTTGGAGCTATATATATTTTTCGTCAGGATTTATATGCATGTTTTTTATTAGTTCTGCACTGTTAAATCTTTATGTGTTCACAAGCTGTTGTGAAACCCACTCATGATGCCTTTAAATGCTGCTTGAACATCACGATTTAGTAGAGTCGTTAACATAAATGCATCATTATTAGCACCACTTTATCAGTAACATTTTGGTTTAACACCTGTGCAGAGAGGCTGGACAGCTTTTACAGGTGATGCAGTGGGATAAATCTTGGTTTAATTTTACACCTAAGAGTTTTATGCAGCTGATTACATGCGCATTATAGAAATATGAAGCAAGCTTAAGAAAATTATTTTGGTTTGATGCACACATTTGAATATAGCTCAGAAGGGGAAGAAAAAAAACTTCATAAGAACCAAAATAATTAATAAAACAAAAAATGTTTGTCAGTACCAAAACAGAGAATCTAACTGGAACCTTTGGCAGCACTGCAAAACTTATAAACTGTACTTACGGTGCCTGCAGAGAGGATGGAGCGATACTTAGGAGCCGTTTTACACACAGATTTAGTTGTTCTTCTCCACTTTGATTCCGTGGGGTTTAGTGCTTCTTGGGTTTCCTCTCCAGCCCTTCCTATGTCTCTGAAAGCCTGATGAACCACAGACTTCTGCAGGTGTCTGTGGGGAGATATTTTTGATTAGTTAATTCTGTAAGGAAAGCAATGCTTGCAATTTAGCTGAAAATACATTTTATATTATATTATAAAGCATCAGTATGAAAATACAGACTTGTATTTAAATTAAAGAAAATAAATTTACTGAAATTGTTAAACAGTTACGAGTTAGGAGATTTTCTGTGTGAGATCTAATCACATTTATAAATATGCAATTGCTCAACCTTAATTGGAAATCAGTGATGCATCCTTGTTTAATGTGCTTGTTTTAATTGTTGGATCAGTTAGGGATGAAGAGAGTATGGTATTAACAACAAATCCATTATAATAAAAGATGTGATCATCTTTAGGAGGGTCTGAATTTATATTTCAGACCCTCCTAAATCTGACCTTGTCAGTTTCTTTAAAAGTGCAGAATGTCATTATATGACTCGTCAAATTCATACACTAGTTGCTCACTCTGGTTGCATACCAAGTTTTTCTGAAAATAACCGTGTCCTGCTGGTATATTATTTGTTATTTTTCTGTTTTACTCTTTGTTTTTGCTCAGTCTTTTAGTTAATAAAAGCTGTTCTGTCGATACTTACAACAAAACTAACACATGACTGAAGGTATTATATCACTGATGTATGCAAAATGTAAACAAGGAAGTGATGGGACCAAACAAAGAGTCTATGATTATGCCCATTTAATGTTAAAACCAATAACACTTCTTAAGTGTTATGATTCAAGTTATTGCAATCAAAAAAAAAAAAAAAACATATTTATTAATTGACAATTAATTAAGAGCTGTTAGTTATCCTGTCTAAAATACCACAGAATCAAACCCAAATAACATGGCAGTAAAGAGGCACACCCCAGCCTACCTCTGGGTTACAGAGGCTGAGCTACAGCGCTATCATCATAAAAATGACACATCTCACATACAAACTAAAATATGAAACCAGTGTTTTTCCATTCTAAGATTTTGTTCTAAAGAGTATTGTTTGTTTTTTATTGTTTGCTCTCCTAAAGGGCAAGCTCCAGTTGGATGCACAGCTTAAATGACAAAATATCTTTGTGGTTACACCCAATCTTGTCTCTGTACAAATTTATAGCCCCCCAGAGAAAAATCCACCAGCCGCCACTGCTAAGCAGCTACAACAGAGAGCAACATCTAAAGAAGCCAGGGTATTGTCATTTTGCTTTACTGTTCCACTCTTTTGTTTGTCTGAATCTCTTACCAGTGCTGCGCCATGTTTATCGAATGCAAGGAGAAAGGTTTGGGCTTGTTATATCAGACGCGACTGCTGTGGTGTAGTGACCTACATACGTTGCTCCAAAGGGTATTGCGTAAATTAGTTGGTTGACTCAGGTCTGCGATTCCCACTGTATGCCGATCGGGTCCGAGCTGTTTGGAGACGATTTTTTCCGGGGTTTTTCGCTGAGTTGTTTCACATAGGTCAACAGCGGTTAGTGCGCCTTCCTACTGCCACTAAAAACTGACTGTTTATGGGTTTAAATGTTTTTTTTGGGCCAGTAGGAAAGTACTTTTGTCAAAGGCGGCAACCTGCAGAGGACTGTTTTACAGCATCCTCTCCTGTGGAATGCCAAACTTTAAAACACTTTGAAGGGATGTTTAGGTCTTTTTTCAAAGGGATGTCTTCTTAAAGTTACTCAAACCACATTAAACTTTATTTTCAGATGGACTATAGTACAATCTATGCATGTATGGGAAACAGTTGTAATATAGTGTTTTCTATGTACCAGATTGTCACCATAATTAAGTATTTGTTTCTTGGAAAGTTCCATGTAGATAAAATGTGTTCCAAGTGTTTTGTTTTAATGCCATTTGCAAAACATTGTGTTGCTCAACTTACATGAATTGTCGGCTTTATCATCAGGCAGCAGGACTAAAAATAGTTTTTATTCTTTGTCTGAAATTAGATGTTTTTAATTCTGGTTCCCTGAGCCCTTCAACCCAGAGCAGGGTGCAACAGCCTGGAACTGAAATGCTGAGAACCTCTGTGTTTAAGGTGTATATGAATATTCTTTTCTTTTGAAAGAGTTCTGTTATTTTATATTTCTTACCTTCAATTTGCTCTGGCTATATCCTTTATATAAAGCACTTGATTGTCATAACACAAGCATTCCTTAAAGCTACAGTGTGTAATAATTACAGGGATATACAGTCAGAAATGTAATATATTATACATAACTATATTATTCATCATCATCTACGAGCTCAGCCTCTTAATCTTAATATTTGCGTTGCCTTAGAATTCGTTATTTATAATTACATAGGAGCGGGTCTCGCAGCCATGGAGGCAGACATCTTTGCGCTATGGCAGCGCAGAGCCAACAAACTACAGTAGCGATTGCGAGATCGCCAAAACGTCACAACGATGTAGAAAAAATAACGGGTATATTTATTATCTTAAGTCTACATGAAATCTATGCCCTACACAGACTAATGAAATACTATCTGTAAAATTATCTATGTAAACAAACCTCATCACTCGAGAAGGTAGGTGATGCGGACGTCGTGGAAGACATTTTGTCCCGTAACGCTCGCCGTACTGTTGGTGGGGAGAAGCGGTGGGGGGGAGATGTTCATGTTGCTGCAGTCTGCAGTCTGACCGCTAGATGTCGCTAAAAGTTACACACTGTAGCTTTAATGAAATGTATTATTTGTACACTGGTGTCAGAGCACTTCTTTCAACCAACCCCTTACCTCACAATTTTCATGTCTTTACAGAACTCTAGCCTTCATTATTTCTACAACGTTGTTGCATAAGTAAATCTCGCCTCCATATAGTGCTGTACTCCGCCTCAGCAGACATGGGGTTGGTTGTTTCAAGTCTGTATTCCCTGGACCCTCTTATTTACAATGCATCTGCATCAAACTGAGGTCATAGAGAATTAATTATCTCCCTTATCCAGCAATTCCCCCAGCAATTACTAAAATGTAATCAGTAAATGTCACATCACAGTACCCTTTCATATCACCAAACCCCCAATATTCCACTCTATTTCATTCTGACTGAATGCATTGATCAGAGGAGTGAATTTGTGGCCATTTTCCCGTGAGGCCGTGATAAGGGTTGGTTATACCGGAGGTGGAGGAAGTCACCCCTGTCTTATCAGTTATTGCCACAGTGAGACCAAGACGCCTCTTCCTGATAAGAAGAAGAGTGTGGGGGGCATGGGTGGAGGGAGGCAAGAGGGCCTGTACCTGTCCCCTGTGAAAGATCGGCAGGAGGAAGAGTCCGACTCCAACCTCCTGTAGCGCCGCCTGCGATGTGAGTGAGTCCGTGAACTATTGGAGATAAAACAAAGCAAAGACAAAGGAAGACGTGGCTGAGAGTTCAAATTAATTTAAAATGGTTTATATACTGAAAGAAAACAGTTTTAAGGGGGTTCATTGATTTTTCTTCTGTTTGAGTAATAAAAACAGATTTAAATGATATGCCTTGAAAAAGTATTATCAACCCGTGAGCCTTATCATATTTTATAATGTTAAAAACCAAAAACTGTGACATAAAGAGAAAAATTGTAAATATCTTTAATCTTTGATAACAAATCAAAGATTAAAGATATTAAAGATATAAACTTGAAGTTTTCAATCCTCTTTACTGAATGTTCAGCTGTTTCTTTTTTTTGCATTCTTGGTATTTCCTTGTTTTTGATACGTGATCACTGAGATCTAAAAATATTTGATCACATTTTTTTTTTGTTCAGTATTCTTGTGTTCTATATATCTCGAAGTTTTGTAAGATGTGTCTGGCTTTTTAACCTTAACCTCTTACACCCTCAGGGGGTATAAATAAATTTCTGCCTGACAAAAACACACAAAAGTAAATCACTTATAGCCTCACAGCTATTAGATTTAAGAAGAAACTTTTGGTACCTCTGTAAAGGTAAGATGTCATAGAATAGTTTTCTGGTGTCAGCACCATTGTAGCTTTGGCCCTGCCTGAAATATTAGGGACAAAATACAAAATATTTTGCATTTTTGAACCAAAATTTTCTTTGAAATAAACATTGGAAAAACACTACCAAAATATTATTTATAGCACAAAAAAGTAGTACAGACTTTTAATTCTAAATGTTGTGTAAAAATATACCAAATTTGGACTCAATCAGATGAATCATATTTATTTTAGAATGGTATTAGTGAGAAATTTCTTAGGCGGAGAGGCCATTTTGGCACATTTATCCAAAAAATGTCAACAAACTGTGCCAAATGTGTTTTTTACATCAATACTTGGGGTTTGTCAAAATTACGAGGTCACGTAGCAGCCGGACCCACCGGTGGGTCCGTAGGGTTCTAGGGGTTAATGAGAGTTTATTCTTTCCTCACTTTAGCTTTGTCTGTTTGAACTATAATTTATACATCAACTACCCTATTTTCCTTCTGCCACAGCTGCTCCACTTCTCTGAAGCTCACAGTGTATTTTTTCTTGTCTGGATTATTCAGTTTGACTGCAACACATCCATTTATTCACGCATACTCCATAACTTGTTCTCTGGATCTCTGTTTTTGTAACTTCAGTCTCTGAACTTGGAACCAAAACATCCAAGATAAACAAAAATATTATCTCTTGCACCAGTTCCCTCCAGTTGATGGAAAGATGGATAGAAATAAATACAGGCCAATAAGAGAAGAAAGACTTTATTGAGGCTGTAAGCACTTGACACTGCAGTAGAGGGTCAGCAGCACAATTACCTGAAAGACGTAGCCCCAGTAACAAAATACAAATGCATGACACACTTTCCAGATTTCTATCTGTGGAAAAAAAAATGTAAAATTATCTATTTTCAGTCTTATATGTTTTGGCTCTCACTTGACAACACTGTGGCTCTACCTTTCTTATACCTCATCCAAAATACATAGGTTTTCCTGAGCTATTTACTGCATTTGTGCTGCTGTGGGCTTGGACTGCTGAAGGACATAGGGAACCCTTTTTGTTTCTCTATCTCTATTCTCCCATTCTGCAGTATTTGTTAGTTCAATCTCTAATGTTATGCTTTCCCTGCTTTTTCTTATCATAGTAGCCTCACCAAGTCTGTTCATGTTGAGCTTTGACAACATCCTGGAGAAGAGTGTCAGCCGTGCTGTTGCCTTCAACACCTTTGTTTATAGATGTCATGTCTCTCTGACTGTGACTAACTGTATGTGCTCTCTTTCATCCTCTGCCTGGCTGTGTGTTTCCTGGACAGGGCCGCATGTGGAGCTGGTGAACAGCTGTCTTTTGTATCTCTGCTTCTTTTTCTTTGTCCACTTCTGTCTCCTTGAACCGGCAGATGGCCGCTCACACTGAGTCGGGTTCTGCTGGAGGTTTCTTTCTGTTAAAAGGGAGTTTTTCCTCTCCACTGTCGCTACAAGCATGCGTGGTGTGAGGGATTGTGTGGGAGTCAAAGCAATCAGTGGTTTTTTCTTAGATAGAAAACTATGAACCAATCTGACTGTATGATCTGATTGAACTGTCTCTGTAAAGTGCCTTGAAATAACATGTGTTGTAAATTGGCACTATAGAAATAAACTGAATTGAATATAACTAAAGTTTTGGTCAGAATAACATATGACATAGTATGGACAAAGGGGAAATTGTGGTGTTTACAGAAGCAAAAAGATTATAGAAAAAAAAATCTATCGCAGCACTCTTACCTAAGAGTCAAATTAGGAAAGACTACAATATTACAATATTAAACTATTATCACTAACTCTTTGTGTATATATATATATATATATATATATATATATATATATATATATATATATATATATATATATATATATATATATATATATATATATATATATATATATATATATATATATATATATATATATATATATATATATATATATATATACACTCACCGGCCACTTTATTAGGTACACCTGTCCAACTGCTTGTTAACACTTAATTTCTAAGCAGCCAATCACATGGCGGCAACTCAGTGCATTTAGGCATGTAGACATGGTCAAGACAATCTCCTGCAGTTCAAACCGAGCATCAGTATGGGGAAGAAAGGTGATTTGAGTGACTTTGAACGTGGCATGATTGTTGGTGCCAGAAGGGCCGGTCTGAGTATTTCAGAAACTGCTGATCTACAGGGATTTTCACGTACAACCATCTCTAGGGTTTACAGAGAATGGTCCGAAAAAGAAAAAACATCCAGTGAGCGGCAGTTCTGTGGGCGGAAATGCCTTGTTGATGCCAGAGGTCAGAGGAGAATGGCCAGACTGGTTCGAGCTGATAGAAGGGCAACAGTGACTCAAATAACCACCCGTTACAACCAAGGTGGGCAGAAGAGCATCTCTGAACGCACAGTACGTCGAACTTTGAGGCTACAGCAGCAGAAGACCACACCAGGTGCCACTCCTTTCAGCTAAGAACAGGAAACTGAGGCTACAATTTACACAAGCTCATCGAAATTTGACAATAGAAGATTTGAAAAACGTTGCCTGGTATGATGAGTCTTGATTTCGGCTGTGACATTCGGATGGTAGGGTCAGAATTTGGTGTCTACAACATGAAAGCATGGATCCATCCTGCCTTGTATCAACGGTTCAGGCTGGTGGTGGTGGTGTCATGGTGTGGGGAATATTTTCTTGGCACTCTTTGGGCCCCTTGGTACCAATTGAGCATGGTTGCAATGCCACAGCCTACCTGAGTATTGTTGCTGACCATGTCCATCCCTTTATGACCACAATGTATCCAACTTCTGATGGCTACTTTCAGCAGGATAATGCGCCATGTCATAAAGCTGGAATCATCTCAGACTGGTTTCATCTTTGGGATGTGGTGGAACGGGAGATTCGCATCATGGATGTGCAGCTGACAAATCTGCGGCAACTGTGTGATGCCATCATGTCAATATGGACCAAACTCCCTGAGGAATGCTTCCAGCACCTTGTTGAATCTATGCCACAAAGAATTGAGGCAGTTCTGAAGGCAAAAGGGGGTCCAAACCGTGACTAGAATGGGGTACCTAATAAAGTGGCCGGTGAATGTATATATACATAGTTTTAAGAACGAAGGAAGGAAGATATACACGATTTCAATGCATTTATCACACACTGACCTTTTCTTGTGCTTGCGTTCATCCTTTCTTTTACGTTTTAAACTTGAAGAACTGGAGGGATAAAGGAGAGCTTAGTGAGCCGGAGGTATTTAAGACTGACAAAGTCTTCACAGACTGCCTGCCTTCTTGCTGATACACTGAGAAGGTATTTAAGGTTTTAAGATGAAAATCCAGTAATCCTTTAAAACATAATTTAAAAAAGCAATACATTTAAAGAATACCATATTAGATAAAAAAAAAAAACATTTCTACCACTAAGATTATGATAAGAATTATACAAGAACAATACTTCAACATACCTGTGTTTAGACTTCTTAGAGGTATACCTGAAATCAAGAGAAAAATAATATGAGTCACTTTTAAGAAAATATTATATTTTTATAAACACAGCACTGTAATAATAGAGCAGAACTACCTATGCCGCTTGCTTTTCTTAGAGCTTTTCTTCTTCTTCTTTTTATTCTTCCGCACTGGTGATAGACTCTGAGAAGGTGACCTAAAGGAGCAAGAAAAAAAAAGGTGAAAATTTGAGTTTAGTTACGTTCACTTTATGTTGGTTTAAATATCACTTTTTTTTTTTTTACAGAAGTCAATAAAAGATCATTTATTTTTGGGTGTCATGAAATCTAGATGAATTGAATAACTATTCTTCTAAAACAGGTACAATTTAAAGCCAATTCTATCAAATAAGTTCTACCTTTGAAGTCATTGACAGAATAAACTAATCTGATTCAAAGACATTCATATGTAATGCTGGTTACTCATCTAAACCCAGTTTTGTTGATTTCTGACCGATTCAAATTTTTTTCTTTCATTTGATTCAAAATAAAATATCTTTAATTTAACTGTATAAATGTAATTTTAAAAAAAGCTCATACTAAAGATTTAAAATTAATTTTAATCAAGCAAGTTATAATCCAGTCCATCATACTGAATGATATAATTCCAATCTCACCGTCTTCTTTTTCTCTTTCTCTCTGATTTTCTCTTCTTCTTCTTTCCCTTCCGCCGAGGCGAGAGGTGACCATCAAAGGAGGATCTGTGGGCACAGACAGAGCAGAAAGAGGCCTCTATAATCAGTCATGAGATAGGATCGATTATGTTCATTACCAAAAAGCCAATAGAAGCTCCAAGCTTGGTCTATTTAATCTAAAACTTTGAAACAATGACCAAACTGTAAAGAGAAACCTGTCATATATGTCCATTAGCCCTTTATGGCAAGGTGTGTTAAACGACTATATTGGGGCCACAAACCATCTAAAATGTTCACGCAAAACATCACTTGAAGGATCTGTGGACAGGTGTGTGACCAACAACATTTAAGTTTAGGGAACATTTCACCCTTTCTCTGGGGGTGAATTCATCCCTTTTTATGACCATGGATGTCTTGGACAAACTGCATGCCATAAATACACTGTTTTGTATATTATATAAGGATTGTAGTTATTTTTTGGTGGCTCTAACAAAACACTGTTAAGATAAATAGTAAGATACATTTTAATGCATTTAAGCAGGATTGCATGAATGTTTGACAAATTTTGTTGTACTATCCATTATTACCAGGATGGCATCTGAGCAAGTGAAAAGAAGTATACTCTAACTGTATGGTTCCCGGATTCTCTTGAAAACAGATGGCCTGTATTTTCATAATGAGTTTGTGGACAGAAGAGAGTAAAGAGGATGATGATGAGTAAAGAAGGATGATGAAGATGAGTATTCTGATTTATTGAAGGAATCCCACAATTTTAACAATGTTGATTGCCAGAAAGAAAGCCTTGAATTTCAATGGTTCCAGGATTCTCTTGAAAACAGATGGCCTGTATTTTCATAATGAGTTTGTGGACAGAAGAGAGTAAAGAGGATGATGATGAGTAAAGAAGGATGATGAAGATGAGTATTCTGATTTATTGAAGGAATCCCACAATTTTAACAATGTTGATTGCCAGAAAGAAAGCCTTGAATTTCAAAACCACTCACTATTATTTCTCCTATGAGTTTCTTTTTAAGATATTTGTAGAAAGTCACATTTATATATTAACTAGTAGAAACTGTTATTGTTTGAATGAAATGTATGTATTTTTTATTGGTTCATTATAGTATAAAATCTCACTAGCCAAAGCTTATAGCACGCAGTTTTCAGCCCGTTGTGCAGCAGCAGAGATGACGATCAGTTCTTTTGTAGAATAAGCTAGGTTGTTCTCAACAGGTGAAGGTGGAGTTCCTGCCTGAAGTGGAGGAGTTCACTGGACAGGGGCCAGGCACTTCCTTAGAGGTAGATTTGAAGCTTGGCCATCTGTGAGGGCGTTGGAGATAGAGCCAGTGTACCTCCTTATTGAGAGGTGTGCGGATGTGGCTCTAGAATTTGCTACACATGACTCCTGAACACCTGCATCCTAAAGCGATGCTTTAGAACTTCACTCCCCAAGAGAAGTTGGAGGAGGTGTAAAGGCATAGGGAAGTACTCATGCTCTTCTATATATATATATATATATATATATATATATATATATATATATATATATATATATATATATATATATATATATATATATATATATATATATATATATATAATGAAATATATTATAAATTACAATAAATGTTTTGGCTCTTGGTTTTACTCTGACTTTCAATATTATGACTGATCCCCACATTGGCTGTACCCTTTAAATAACCTTCAGGAGACACCCAGCAAGCTACTGTTAAAGTGAGGAGGATTTGTCCCCTTGGAAGTAAAGGCTGTAGCTCCCCGGGGGCCTCCTCATCGGTTCTTTTCCTGGGAGCAAGTTATTTACTACTCTTAACTCAAACTGGGTAAAACCATATAAAAAAGGACTATAAAAACAGGAGTAAAAAAGTAACAGAGTTTATTCCAGATCAGGTCGTTTGCGTCCGGCAAAGTTTGAGCCCCGAACAACGTCATCTCCTGCTTCTTATACCTTCTGAGTCTGTGTTGCATCATGTGGATGCTTAGCTGTCCGTATCAGAAACTGACACGCCATCCATGTCTTGAACTCCATGCAGGTTGCCTCTCTGTCTCAGGGTTACAGATACAGCAGCTCTCCTATCAGACCGGCTCCAAGATGAGCCCATATCCTGTGTATTCTTACAGACACGAAGGCTGTCCTGATTAGATGACCTCCGTACACACAGTGACATCCACAATGTGAAGGAAGGCCTTCTGCTCTGTCTAATCTGACTAGCAAAATAACAATGCACATGATGTATAAATAATAAAACCTAACACTACTCTTTTAAAATAAGTTTTATTCTGACTTTTTCCATATCTTTCCTGCTCTCTGTTCTGTCAGTGTGCCACTTCTGGATTGATAACATTTTGAACATCTCATAACATTACACGGCTGCCACCCATCTACACACATTTTGTACATATTGTGTCACACATCAACACACATTTCTCTTCGATTTCTTGCTATTAATCTTCACCACTTTTACTTTTTCGAACCAACTGATCATTACACAGAGAAGAAAACTGTCAAATATCTTCTTGTGGTCAGTTAGATGACTTTCCAGACATCCACCTTTTTCTCTGTCTGAGTCATCTCAAGAGGAGATGAAGGATTTCAAAAAGCACCAAAGGGTCACAGAGCGGTCCTTCTCAAGGACAGAAGCAAAGGCAGTTTGTGAGTGAAAAGGAAAGGTGATCCAAACTGAATGAGGCAATTACATTACAGTGAGGCCTGAAAAATTGTCAAGGAAATGGGATTTTCTACGAATACAGATTTTATTCTCCCTCACTTGCTCTGATGAAATCACAATGTCTTCTTGGGTTTGTTTAGACCAGCCATTTCCTAAACAATGAAAACACTATTAAAATGCCAAATGGAAGATCATATCTGTAAATTGTCAAACATTTTACATAAGGACAAATACTTATTAAGACTAATTTGGGGAAACCCTATCTTTAATAAGCTGATTTAGAAAATTATAGCAGATTTTTATTAATAATTTTAATCGGAAATATCTGCTGTTCTTTATATGTACCAAAAGAGTGATAGTATCCCATTTTGAAGCAGTAAAGATAGGGCCTACACGGTTTAACATTCAGTACTCTTTACTGATATATGCTACCAATAAGGTTGAAGACCGTGTGCCAGTTTTGCTGGATCCACAGGAGTGTCCTATGGTAATAAATGGCCCTGTTCGGCATTGTCGGCAGTTTAGGAGCATTAGAAACTGAAATGCATTAGAGCTGATTAGACTTACTGAGCCCAAGTACCCTCTCCTGATAATGAGAACGCTTTGTCACTCATTAACACTTTTACCATTCTGGCCCTGTATTGAGAAAGCATTTGCATTTCTTCTGGCCAGCAGAAACCTTTCCTTTTGATGAGATGGAGGGAACAAGAAAGCAGTCATTTTCCAGCTACACAGGGAACACAGTTTAATGCAACAATTGCAAATGAAAATGGTGATCTGAGGACATGGGAACGTCTTAAGTAGAGATTTATTTCCTTAATGTGTTTTCATTTTTTCCTCACAGATCTTAATTCTCTCTGAAGATCCCTTAAATATATAAACTACCTAGTTTCCTTTGGATATCATATGCTGTATTTGACAACATTTCAATTGCAATTGGTTTGATTCTCAGCCTGGTGTCTTTCTACATGGCCCCACAGCGACCCAGGTGGAAAAAGCCAGAGAAAATTAATGGATGGATGAAAATAGTCTCGGTTTTTACCTCCATTCAAGGCTTTTTTTTTTTTTTAAATGCTCTTGTAATGGTTTCTGCACTGATTCTGGCCTGATCACTCAGTCCATACACCTGCTCTGCTCCTCCCGTCCGCAATCAGCTCTGACCAGAGTCACCTGTTTCCAGCAGTTTATAAACCCCATCAGATCAGTCGTCAGTGCCAGATTATCTCGAGCCAACCCGATACAAATAGTCCAGCATCTTAAGATTTCCTGAATGTCTACCTGTTTCTGACCCGATCTGCCTGCTGATACCGACCTGCCTGACCTCTGTCTGATTCTGCCTGCCCGATTACCCTCTCTGCTCTGCCTCTGGATCCCCGGATCTCTGATTCATTCTGATCACTCTGCCTGCTCCCCTCTCTCTGGATCACAGACTCGGAAAAGCTCCGCTCAACTGCCTGCCTCCCCGTCCTGCATCAAAAACTGGTAAACCTCCCTCGATCTGCCCGCCCGTCTTCCTGCAGCCTGTTGCTCACACAGATTCAGTCCCGCTATCAGAGTAAACCTCTCAATAAACCAATAAAAACGTGACTAACCTGTCTTGGTTTATTTGGATCCAGTCTCTGTCTCATTACAGCTATATGTTATTCGGCTTGAAAACACATTTAATGTTTGGATATTTTTCAAACTAATTTGTTGAGAATATCCTCCAATGGCAATCTTGATATTTGGTTAATATATCAAGGGTGAGAGTAGTTAGCATTCTGCCATATTGGTAAAAGTCTTTCATGACTTGTAATCCAGACTGCTTTGTTTCACTCAGCACTTGTAGATCATACCGAACAGTAGTAACATGTGAGGTTCCTCAAGTGTCTATTCTTGAGCCACTTTTACTTAATATGTAGATATTAGCATTGCCCAAATTAAAGTATATCAAGATTCCTATACTGACAATACAATGTTTTATTTTCCTGTCACCACATTTTATATTTGTGTACATAATAGAGTGTACATAATTTTACCATGTGGATAGACAGATACTTCTATTACCTGGATGCAGATAAAACATATTGCTGCGTTGATCAAAAAGGGATAAAAGCAGATCAGGTAAACTGATAAAAGGCTGCACCTAACAGAGCACTTCCAAATTTAAAAACCCGCATGAAGTTTCTTATATCGTCAGCCTCTTTTAGAACATTGTAGGAATACAAGGTTTCCCATGTAAATAAAACACATGAAACTGTTGTAGAATCTATTTTCTGTTGCTTTGATTATGGTCTTGTTGGTTCTATTTGTAGTTATAGAAATGGTAGCCAGAGCTAATCTAAATTTTTTGACAATTTCCAGAAAGAAATAACCACCCATTTCTTAAATAACTAAACT